TCAAGGATCATGGGCAAAGTTAATGAGCAACAAACACTTAATCAGTAGGACTCACGCCAGGAAGTGTGGTCACACAACTCTTCTCACACAAATGGCTGAGAAGATGTCTGAATGCTGTGAAATGTCTCTGTTTTGGACTGCAGAGGAAATTCCAGATACGAGCAGAGCCATGGGAGCAGTAGTTAGAGGCAGCTAGTGATGGCCTTGTCAAACAGGCTGTTGAGTCTGACACACACCTCCTGAGTCACCGAAAAGTGGATGTGGAATTTCAGTAATGCAGGATAAAAAGTAAAACATGCTGGTCAGCGTGGCACCGTGAAACAGAGCTTTAGATTAGCATGAACTCATTTTTCCTCAAAAACAGCCTGTAGTTTCAATTAGTGGAAAGCAGAGGTTTTTCGCTCTTACAGTCTTTGAAGCTGTGATTTCAGAACACGTCTGCGCTCTGAACTCAAGGTTTCCAAAGGAATTCTCAGTCTCCGTACTGAGGTAACAAAGTTCCCCTTCTGTAGGAGGCTGAATATTGTGTTGCTGTTATTTGATTTTGTTTTATTTTCTTCACGTGTTGTTTTTTTTCACTGCTAAATATCCTGATGGAGGAACAAATCATTCTACGCCATGCTGAAATGCATAAATAATAAATAGCACAGTGCAATAAAATTGTGCAATTTTATTTGTGCAAATAAAATTGCACAGAAGAAACAGTGTCAGTATCGGAATTCTAGGAAAACTAAACAGAAATGAGGAATGGTTTAACAATGAAGCTCATCAACAACTGAGATGACTGTAGAGAGAAACAGAATCTATTTTTGATGTTATGTACACCTTAAAAGGATCCTGCTCCAGAAGATGTACATTAGCAGGGCACGTTGTTGGGACTTCTGCATTGGGAACTTCTGTGAAATGTACAATTCTGTAAGACAAGAGGATTCCAGTAGTCATGTCTAGCTTTAAAGCACCATGAGCTGGAAATCACTAAGGTTGATGCTTTGTTCATCTTATTAAAAACTTTTTTTTTCTTTTTTTAGGAGTTTATTTTGAGAAGGTATTAAAGAGTTCTGATACATCCTTGTGGGTGAGGAACATCCAGATGTACTTATCGGGGATTGCGGTGACTTTATTTGGTGTGTACATGTCAGATGGAGCCCAGGTTCTCGAGAAAGGGTTTTTCTACGGCTATACACACTACGTCTGGTTTGTCATCTGTAAGTATCTCATGGTTTTATGGTCAGGTTATGTTGTTTTGCTTTTTTTAACTTTTGGTGTAACTGGTTGTGTGAACCTACAAATACAGTTTGACCCACTGTTTCTTACTGTGTTTTGTCTAATACTGTTTTCTTGAAAATTATTAGTTTATTCAACTTAAAATTGTGCTTAACGAATATTCCAAATAACTGAAGCAGCAGGTAGAGCATCTTTAAGTGAGTCACGTTTGACTTTACTAGATGCCATTGTAGATGTGCCGCTTTGATACATGTTGTGTTAGATCACCAAGTAGGATGATGTAGCCCAAACAAGGAGTGGGGTGAAATGCATGGCTCTAAAGAGGAACCTGCTGCACCTTTGCTAACAGACAGCTGCTGTCTGCTTTCCAGTTCTCGCCAGCGTAGGCGGGCTCTACACGTCTGTGGTTGTGAAGTACACGGATAACATCATGAAAGGATTTTCTGCAGCAGCAGCCATTGTTCTTTCTACCGTGGCATCGGTCATCCTCTTTGGCCTCCAGTTAAGTAAGTGCCTTTTTGCCACCTGATTTGACTGTCGGTGCAGGTTTCCATCCTTGGTAGCAGGCTGTACACCAAGGCAATCACTCGTGCCTTCTTTGAATGTTTCTGTTTTTAACTTAGCCTTCTCCAGGAGTGCTGTGTTGTGTTCCATAAGGTACCCGACCATCCTCTGCTTTCACAGGCATTCATGATTTGGTCTTGTAGAGGCACCCTATAACTTCACAGAGAAAGGGTCTTTCCAGTTTAAACAGCTTACTGATTTCTACAGCTCTGCTCACGAATCGCTTCCTAATGCAGTTCAGTATGCAAATGGTTAGAGCTGTTTATCGGGGAGAGCTGTCGGGAAGGTACCCTTTCTTGCTGTTTTTAATAGAGCCAGTGCCAAATTAATTCCTCATCTATTTCTGCAAGGGCTTCACCACATCCTGTTAGGTTATACCTGCTGCTGCCTTCCTGCTTGCTGTGCCCAGTCCATGCACCAGAGCGCATCCCGCAGCCACCAGGGTGAATACTTCTGAGAGGAAATAGCAAATTGCTGGGGGCTGGCCTGCAGCCATAAAGGATTCTCTCCCTGATCAGCCATGTACCTGATAAAGTATCAAATAACTCCTGCTCAGTCCTTCCCTATGATTTTTGACTTTCCCACCGTAGTCAGAATTTAGAGTTGGGATGGTGTAATGGTTCTGATTTGGTGTAGTGAGGTGAAACTTAACAAAGGTTTGTCTAAGAAAACCATCACAAGCTGAAAAAGAGGGCCTTAAATCAAGTGATGAAAAACAACTGCTTTTAAAAACTCACCTGGGCTGAATGCTTTCCTGCTGTTTGACACAAATCAAACCTGGACTGCTGAGCTTTCTGTGAAAGCCTCACTAACAGTATTTCTCAGGTGTGTCTGAATTTGAAAAGGCAAACAAAATGTGTCATCACAGGCTATGCTATCACATCCACCTGTGTCTTTACCTTAGTGCTACTGTAACAAAAGCCTGTCAGAGCACATCTGGAACTGCAGAGGGTGTTTCACACTTGATTTTCTGACCATCACCACATTTTTGTGACAGGAAACTACCTGAAATGCTGTGGGGATTGTAAATGCTCAGGAGTTTTCAGTGACAGAGTATGATTTTAGGTTCTGAGAATTAACAGCTTGTTGTCCTGCTTACTTTTGAGTAACAGTTAAGACTGTCTGTCAGACATCATCATAATTTATGTAGCTCAGTCTTCTGAAGGTGGTTTCTTCTTTTACAAAGGTGTTTATTTTGAACTGTTTGTTCCTTCGCAGCTACTACCTTTCTGGTGGGTGCTATCCTGGTGTGTATTTCTATTTACTTCTATGGATTCCCTCGGCAAGACACCACAAAAATCCAGCCAGCGGAGACGAAGAGCCCAAAAGAGAGACTCGACTACTGTGTGACATTGTCTTTAAAAATGGACAGACAGGAGGAAAAAATGGACTTCAAAACTTAAAAACTACATTTTTAAAAAAACTTAGCCTTAGCTAGTTGTGAAATGGTTTAAGTGGGATAGGCTGAAACCAGAAATTATTTCTTTTTTTACACGAGAAGTTACCCGAGGTTGCTGCTGAGGCTCCGTTACAGCCAGGAGCCGGATGGGTATTTCATGGAAGGCATTACTCAGTTGTGATGGAAAATGAAGAGTCCCATTTACAAGGAAAAGAGAATGAAGGAACTGAACACTCAACTGTATATAATGTACATAACGGAGGGAAAGGGGGAAATGGGAAATATTGTGTCTTTGATAAACTGTCATGCCCTTTGAGGGCAAAAATGCCCCACAGCTTCAAACAAATCTATTAAAAAGGGCAACTACTGCCAGCATTTTCTCTTAAACCACTTGGCAATTGCAGTTTGATTCTCCACAGGGAGTTTCTCTTTTAAATAATACATATCAGATAAACAGAGAACTTTGCTAGAGTTTTTGTGATGGTGTAGCGGTATTTTTTCCTCTATGCACTCAAGTCTCACTTGCCAGCCACACCTCTACCAGTAATAAGCACACTTCAAACATCGTTTACCCAGAAGCGATTAGAAGTAACACTTGCTGTTGGGATAAAAATCCATAATGAAAATCTAGTGTTTCTGTTAAGCTGTAGATTCTTTTACTTTTCAGTTTTATTTTCCACTTGCTGTAGCTGGTGGAGAGCTGGCCTATTCTTTTACAGATTTTCTCAAAACTTGTGCAGGGAGAGACAGGCACGTTGTATCTCCAGCTTGGTATGAACAAGCGTTGGACCAGAGGAATTTCATCTTTACACTTTTTCTCCTAAACCTTTTTATGCATAGCAAAGTGATGCTGGAGAACAGTTCCTGTAATGCATGCGAGGCTTTGTTTTAATTAGAGTGCCAACTAAAATCTTCTCCCTGCCTCCGGGCATTGCTCAGTTCAACCCTTCGAGGAAAATGCAACTGCATTTAGGGAAAACTGCCTTTGGGGCATTTGTTTAAATCCACAGTGGAGTCAAAAATCAGACTTTGATTTATATCTCGTTTAAATTCCTTCAGACCTGAGCTACCCAGCTGGATTTTACTTCAGCTTGGGGCGTGTTAACCACAGCAATAACAAAATGCTTAAGTTTGGTTCTAGTGGGAGAAGGTGCTCCTCTGTGCCTTTTGCCAAGCGTTCTGTGCACGTAGGATGGAGCACGTCAGCAAAGTGCCAAGGCTTTGGTGTCAGGGGCCTTGTCAGAATTCATTTCAGAGGCTGGCACTGCCACCTGCGCTGCCGCCTGGTGCTCCACCTCTCTTCAGCAGCCATTGTGGCTGTGAAATTGCCGGGCAGCACCTGCCACGCGGGGCTGCTGAGGGAGTGCCGCGGTTCCTGTTGCACCAGCTGGGCAGCACACCTTCCTTCTCCTTCCTCATCGGGTCAGGACGTGACAGGTTTGGCAGTGGGGCTCGATGCGTGAAGGTGGGAACATGATAGGACACACAAAAGAGAAGGGCAGGGTCTGACTGAGTGTGTCCCCACACGGCGCACCTGTCCTGCCACGAGGGCGATGCAGGAAGGGACTTTCATTGCTTAGGGCAGGGCGCTGTAATTCCCCTCCCTCTTCAAAAGGAAGTGTGATGTTTACAAAGGTAAATCCATAAAATTTGCCTTTTATGGGGCCTACCAAGGACACTGCTGTCCTAAATACACCGCTACTGTCTGGGAGAAAGTAATTACGGCAGCAGGTGGCACCCCCAAATGGCGGTGCCATCATGCTCTTCTGCAACAAAACCCTTCAAGAGCCGAGTCTCCAGACTGCATTCACAATGACTGGCAGGAGAGTGTTTATGTTCTCTTGAAAAATACCTTTTTACTAGGACGTTACACAGCTGTTACATCCGCGTGACGGGGGTGATGCCGAGGAGTTGCATCCCGCTGCCTAGAACGGAGCGCGCCGCTCGGAAGAGACACAGCCTGGCCTGGAAAACAAGAGCAGGGCTCAGCAAAGCCAGAGCAGGTGCTGGAGCAGCGAGGAGCTGCCTGTGAGAGGGGAGAACACCCTGTGCAGCCTCTGTCCCCACGCACATGCAGTAACACCCCGGTGTGAGCTGGCAGCACTCACACCAGCTGGCGGGGGCACTTCTAGGGTCAAAGGGACGCTTTTGGGGCTGCAAAGGGAAGCTGGGAAGAGGGGCCTGGCCCAGACTAATAACGGCATTTATAAATAAAAAAAGAGCAAAATAAAACCCACAACCTCATGGCAGTGACCAGAGGGGATGCTCAGAGAAGAGCCAGCAACTACTGAAAAGTAAAAACCAGCCGTGCACCACAGTGGCAGCACAGGCTGTTAGAGGCCAAGAGTGCTGCTGAAATCCTTCCTCTCACCGGGCATGGACTGGAGGCTGTCAGGGAACTTAACTCGAGGCTGCTCTGAAAATTTCACTCTTCTCAGTTCCATGACTGGCTGGCTGGGAAGGGCTTACTCCAAAAAAAGTAGCTTTTGAAAGCCATTACTCTAAGATAGGCAGTTTTGTTTTGTTTTGTTTTTACAGGATAAGGAACTGCAATGCTCCTTGTAGCTAGAATTGTCTTAGTTCTCTAGAAGAATGCGTGGAACCATCTTCAAAGGCAGAAAACCTACAGCAACTAAGCTACAGCATGGAGCTTTATCAAGTCCACAGCGCTGTCTCCCCCCACAGCACAGCTCCATGTTTAAATGGGACTTCTTGCCCAAACCAGACAGGGAACTGCTTTTGAAATAGCTTGAAGAACATAAAGGCAGTGCAATTACTATAGCATTTATAGAGCAGTTACAGGGTCAACCATTGCCTGGGAGATTAGTAGAAAATAGTTTGCGTCGATTTGGAACTGCACATCAACAGCTGTCAGCCTCGCTGCTTTAGCCAGAATGGCAATTCAGACAACTTGGGATGTGTAGGTGGCGAGAGGGAGGAGAGAAACTCACTTCTCTCCTAATCCTCTGCCTTCCCACATAACCACTGAAGGAAAACTGTCAGGAATTAACCAGCGAGTTACAGACTTCAGTATTTCCTTTAAAAGTTCAGAAGGAAAGGTGATGAGAGGAAAAGTAGGGGGGAGTTGTTTTGGTCGGGAGCAGTTTTCCTTATGGTGTTGTGTTCCAGGAAGATGAGGCAGAGCCACGAGCAGCAGCTCCTGGTGTGGTGTCACCCTGCGGGACCACCTGCCTGCTGGCTCCTTAGCCTGCGGGGGCACATTCTGCAAATTTTGGCAAAGCCCCAAGAGATCGCCCCTCCACCGTGCCATACCTGGGCGAGTTCAGGTGCGCTGCCTTTCACGGGAAGGGTTTTATGCGCCACGGCTGCAAGATGGCTGAAACAGAAAAGGTGGTGAGAAGGAGCAAATCGAGCAAATCGCTCCGCAAGAGCAATCTGCAGGCTACAGAAAGCAGCAGAACTGGAAGAGCCATCACTGCAGCGTGCCACAGTTTTATTTTCTACAGCCTGGCTCACCTGGCTGAGGGTGGTCATGGCTTTCTGGAGCCTGCGTGTTGTCTGGGCATGCCACCAACAGCTTGGTGCTTGTACAAATAGCAGCCTCTCCCCCAGTCCCCAACCAAGCAGATCTGGAAAGATCCCCGAGAGTCACGCAGCCTGTCACTGCCAAGGATGCATAAAGCCTTACACAGTTTCTTCTGACTTGTTAAAGCCTTCCCCGTACACAGACTGTACAGCTTCCTCCAGCAAGCCTACCCGAGAGCTTCACTGTCCTGACACAGGTCCCTGGGGGGACCCTCCCTGCGGCGGCTGCGTGCCCAGTTTGACTTTGAGCCATAACATGCTTTTTCCATCTCAACACATAGGCTGAGATCAGTGGCTACAAGGTTTTTGGACAACCTAGCTAAAATTTTGAGATTTGAGAGCATGTTATCAGCTCAAATATCCTCTTAGAGACGTGGTTAGTCTGTTATGATTTTGGTTTCAGGCACTGGGTTACAGTCAAAGGATTCTTCTTGAAAGCAGCCAGCTTCTCGGGAGGCTCCTGACTCCTTTTTTCCTGGTTCCAACCTTCATCTCGACTACTTATGCTATCATTTGCTACCCTACTTGATATCTTTTCTGCTCCACAGAGGTCCCACAAATTTACATCTTCCCACTATTTTTCTCTTCAAAGCAGTGCAGATTTAGGGCTGCAAAGCCAGCTTGGGAAGACAGGCACTGCCCGTCCTCCCCGGAGGAGGATGCCGGTATCAGTGATTGCCTTACCAAAGCGTGAGGAGGTAGCTGACTATGTGCTTGGGTTGCAGATCCTGAGAAGATCTATACAGGACCTCATCATACCTGTGAAGACAGAAAACAACAGCTTGGTGTAAAAATGGTAAGGTGTCCTCAGATAAAAGGCTCAGACTTGCTGAAATCAGAACAAACACAACTGCAGAATTAACAGAAATAGCCGTCTGAACCAGACCTAAGCCATGTAATTAGCACACAATTGCTTATTTCTTCCTCATTCATGTCTTGTTGGAAAGAGATTGCTTCTGCTCCTCGTCATGCAAACACTGTAGGCTGCAGAGCTCGGAGGGGCACACGATAGCAAAGAGAACACAAAAGCTATATTTGCTCCTGGAACATTATGTCTGGTTTTACATTTCAACACTAATTGTAAGTTCCTAGGAGCAAAAAAACATGTATTAAATAACCAAGGCAGACAAAATAGTCCCTTAGATGCTGCCTTTAATAAATGCAGCTTAGAATTTTAAGTTGCTAAAGGGAATTTTGTAACATTAGAAAAGACAAAAACAAAGTGGGTTTACATAACCCTGGAATAAAACACACTTATGTAAGACAGTATTCAACTGGAAAATGCAAGCATATTCATGGAAATCCATAGTTTTACTGCATGGGTTCTGCTGTCTGCTCGTGCCTCTTTTTTTCACAGCCCCTAGCAAAGTTACTCAGACCTCTCAGGCTTGAGCAGATTTCCAAGTGGGGAGTGGGCCTCCTGATCTCTGCTTAGCTTCCAAGCCCATCTGCACCATCACGGCCACGCTGAGCTTCCTGGGATCTTCTTTAACAGCTGGCTGTAGGGGAACTGTGGAGCGAGCTCTGGTAACGAAGTTACGAAGTTACCAGAAAGGAAGTTAGACAAACATCTCTTAATGATACTCAGAACTGGCCAGCTAATTTTGAGGGCCAGTGTTTCATGCAGCAGAACCAGAGCCATGGGAAGCAGGCTTCTGACAGCTCAGGCGTGTTTGTCATGGAAACTTTTCCAGAAGAATCTATTCTTGGCAACTCACAAGGAGGACAATCAAAATTGTTATTCCTGAAATCATGACATGTTCAACTATGAGTTTGTTAGCCACCAACTGCCTGGCCTCATGGATAGCCAAATACAGCTTCCTGCTGGAAGTAAAGGTCCCAGATGTTTCACCCAGGTTCCACATGCTACTTGGATGGACTCAAAGGCATTTACAACAAGCAGACCTGAAGCTCTCTAAAAGTAAGAGCCCCGCAGTGGAGCAACAACCTCTATTTGAAAATAGATGCACACCTGGGATGCGGCAGTCCCTGCAAAGTACCCTGAAATACATTCACCCTGTCAGTTTTCACACACAAGATGGGCAGCTATGCACAGATCTGATAAAGCCCAAGAAACAACCCATGGGTTTTCTGTGAAATACAATTTCACTGGGTAAGTAAGATACCATTGGCCTTACCTAGAAGGCTAATGTTGCAGTCATTATGATCCAACAGACAAGCTGCTGCCCAAAATAGCCACTTTTCTCTTATGACTGTGCAATCTGTGTGTCCTCAACAGGCTGGCAGCAAATCAAAACGTTTATTTTAAGGGAACTGGTATTTGCCAAGAAAACCGGACAAACCTGAGAAGATGCTGAAGAACAGAGATGGCATCTGGCTCTTGCAAGCACGACGCATTAACGTCAGTTAGCTGCTCATTCCCATGCATCTGTTCTAAACTAAAATGCAAGAATCAAGAACAGGTGCTGAATGAAAACACTTGTTAGCAAAGATGTACAAGAAAAACAGTAATTTGTATTTTGAGAAGAAAGGACAGGGATCTTTTATTTGAGCTGAATAAAATCAATCCATGATTTGCTAGACATTTGGTACCAACAAGCTTAAAAAAGGACTGGCAAAAAAAACAAAAGTTTAAGTTCTGTAACTTGGTGTATTTTATAAGTACTGGCACTTCAGTTTGCACACGAGTTTCCTTAATCCTCATGCCATCATTCCTCATCACTGACACCAACCACACACAAAGGCTGTAGCTAGAACTGTGGAAGTACAGGGACTGTTTAGCTCAGCCCTATAGAAATGAGATGGAAATTTCATTTTAATTGTCTTGCTCTTCTGGGAACTCCTGGCAATTTCTATTGTAAACTCACACCCCTGCTGAAAGAGTGAACATGTGCCTTATTTAGGGAAGGAGTTAACGCTACTATTGACAAAGCGGTTAGTTAATAAAATTAAAGTAAGTGTCAAAGTGTATTTCTGCCTACCAATGTTCCTCTTACCTGTGGAGTCTGGCATGGGTGTACTGCAAGAATACGCCTGTATCTCCACGACTTTGAAGAGCTCGATCCCAGCTGAACTGATAATCAGATGACAGAAGGCCTCGGAAGTCCTGCAACAGGAACTTGATGTTACCTAGGTATGGATCTCCATCTCCATTTATAGCTTTACACATTCAGGCTCACCTGAATTATTAGTGCCGCAAGACCAACTTTCTCTGCTGTCTCCATAGGGTCTTCTACCTCTTTGGTTGCTGAAAAGGAACAGAGAAAAAGAAATTTCAAGTCCATAACAGTATAAAGACTTGCTCAGAGTTCGAGATGTCAGTAAAACATGAGATCTATCAGAACTGTGAGCTAGCAAAACAGAAACTGTCAGGATGCATACAGCAAGTCCAAGACAGAAATCTTTCTTCAAATGGAAGATACAGCGGTTTCAGACAGGCTTTTTCCCACTTCCTCTGGTTAATACAGATTTTAAGGCTGGCTCATTACTCCAGTCTAGACTACACTGCGTTTCTCTTTGTAATGCAAACAGCCAATCTGTAAAACCAGGGTGAGAATGACAGAGGCGTTCGGGTTTTGTTTAAAAACCTCAAAGTGATAGGAAGGCTTAAACAGTCAAAGACAAATTGTTCCAGTGACTAATAGAGCACTCAGCTGCACATTTATGGAGTATTCTTGCCTTCCACTGCAGACACCTAAACTGGCTGTACTCTGACAACCTGAGCTGGGTGCTCCAATTTCACTTTTAAGCCGCAGGAGGAAACCAGTGCTGTCTGCACACGCAGTCACAGAATCACTTAGATTAGGAGGCACCTCCAGAATCTGTCTATAAACTCTCCTGCTCAGGCAGGGGCAGCTACAGCAGCCTCCAGGGCTGTGCCCAGGCAGATTTGAAGCATCATCCCAGATGCAGACTGCACAACCTCTCGACAACTTGCTCCAGCACCCAGTCCCCCTCACAGCAGGGAGGTGTTTCCTGATGTTCAGACGGAGCCTCCCGTGTTTCAGTTTGTGCCCACTGGCTCTTCTCTGTCACTGAGCTGTCACTTTACTTCTGAAAATGGACTCCAGGATTCGTTGTCCTCAGGGACCGACATAATGCTGACAAGCCTGTAGCTAACTGGATCCTCCTTCTTGAAGACAGGATGGACTTTTGCTTTCTTGTAGTCCTCAGAAACCTCTTCTGATCATGAAGACCTTTCAGAGATGATCAAGAGTGGCCTCAGGCAGCATCAGCCAGCTCCCTCAGTGCTCATAGGTGCAGCCCATCAGGTCCCTGCTCACTTATGGTGCATGGTTCAGTCTGTTCAAATGCTCCTTAACCCGATCCTCCTCCTCCAAGGGCAAGTATTCCTTCCTTCAGACTTTGCCTCTGGCCTCAGGGACCTGGGTTTCCTGAAAGCACGTCTCACCAGAAAAAAGCAAGGTGAAGAAGGTACTGAGTGCCTCAGATGGGTGAAGGCAATGTGGGACATCTAAGTTACAAGCCTAAAATTGGTGTGTGAATAATACTTCCGTTGCAGTTCATCTAAATTCATGTTCTTTCACTGGACATTATTAGTTCTTTGATTAAAACCACTTTCCTACAAGGAATCTTCTTCCTGAGCAGACATGACAAGAGCCTCTCCAAAGCTCTTCTGATTAAATACACTGACCTTATGTCTATCACTGCAAAACCTAATTCATCTGGAAGAGTCTAAGAGCTGTGTCCAGCTTTTTTGCAGCTCCTTAATATACTTCAGCAGTATGCTGCTGCGTACAGAAATTCACCGAAGGGGCAGTTTCATTTCCCCTCACACAGGGAAGGTCACAGGGCCAAGCTGGTGCTCCGGTTCATCAGAAGCACAGTGCCCTTGCCTGCATTAACACCACTTTAAATGCTGGATCTTCAGGGAAATCAGACTTGTGCTTGGACTCACAACCTCAGCCTAGGGAAAAAGCGATCCTTCTGATACACATCACCCTTCTAAAACTAATTTTAAACTCAGAGCACAGTGCTCTCTGTCAGGGCCTCCTCCTCCCCTCTTCCAGTTTGTCTCTGCTGGACTGAAAGGAGGATTTTTACGTCTTTGCAATTCAAATCTGCTCCCCTTTAGCAAGGAGCAAGTACATTTTTTGATAGCGGTATATGTAGTCTATTAAATTTGCCGAGTTCAGCTTATGATTTGCTGTCCCAGATGATCTCCCACCAAAAGCTGAAGATGCAGAACTGAGCTGTTACCTTAAAGGACCACTGAAGTGGAATCAGTTTTGCAGTGCAGTTTTAATACACTTAGATTTCTGTCTTTTGCTTTGCTATTTCTTCGTGCCAGGTCAGCAAAGCCAACAGAGAGAACTTTGACAAGGTCATGCTACTCATATCACTGTTATCTGCAAAATTTAGAAAGTACTAAATTTGAAAAGTGTGGGGGCAAAGAAATGTCAGACAAAGCCATCTAAGACAAAAGTTATGCAGCAAAGGAAGTAGGCATTAGAGAGGGGATTTTTGTGGACAGCAGGGTTACTGAGATGAGTAGAAAGAAAAAGGATGCCAATAGGGGAAACTTCAGTAGCAGAAAACCTGTGTGAAGCTAACAGCAAAGACAGTTTATACAGGGCTATTTAGCTAACCAGCTTCAATCCCGTATAGGCATGATTTTTAAAGCCAGCACTGGCTGTTAGAAGCCCAGCTCCAGCAATCTTTCAGTGACAGCCTGGCATCTTGATACCACAAGCAAATGTGTAATATCTTCCACTGTGCATCCAGACACTCTTCAAACACTGAAGGTATCGCTATGAGCAAGGGATTTATGATTTCTGATTAAGGAAAGGGAAGCAAGGCAGGAATTCAAACACAAGGGGAAAAAGTTTTACAAGCACAGGTAGGATTTAGGATCTAACTGATCTAATGGATAAACTCTGGGGAATGCTGCGGTGCCATCTGAACACATCACTTCCTTTGGCTGTTCTGCTCACTGCTTGTACCCCTGCCATGTCAGTTCAGTCCAGCACAAAAACAAACTGGCTTTGCACTCAGCTGTAATACTGACCTTTAAACTGGAGCTCTGAGATCCGTTCCTCTCTGCAGTAAAACTGACTGCAATAGATGGTCACCCTCCTGTCATTCTGCCTGCCTCCCTCCTCTCTGTCTGCTCTTCAAGCAAAATTGGATGCACACCAAGTTGATCACTGATTCACTTTAGCATGCAGCTCTAGAAAGCACAGGAGGGGGCAGCATTTCCCTGGGAACTGCTTGCATCATTATTTGCTTCCAGAGAAAACAACTCCACTACCTCAGGTACAGGCAAACGTGCCCTTCAGCAGGCTGATGCAGACCTGCGACCTCTTGGGGACTCCAGAAACAGTCCTGAGGCAGGGAGGATGGCGAGGCAATAGCTGCAGACAAGGTACAGGTCAATCGTGCCAGAGAAAACTGTCAGAGCTACAAATCCTTTGGATGAAATCTATTGTTCCCTGAACTCCAGCCCCAGCTCTACTATTGACTGGTCTGCCCCTCCAGAAAAAGCAATCAATGGCTGTCCCCCAAGGGCAAGTACATCCTTTCCAGTGCAAGAGCATGATGAAATAATTCCTCTGAATGCTAAGATTTGCAAGTCTGTAATTTAGGGAGGTTCACAGAGTTGCAAAGGATTATTATCGTGTTGTTTGAGTTATGGTAGATAGGAAAAGCACACAGGTCAGAGCACATTGCTATGATTAGTCTGATTCATGGGAATGTAAAAGGCAGAAAAGACAACAGGTTTCTGATCACACAGAACATCAGAAGAAATGAATAAGACCTGAAATAGCTAACTTTTTGCAGAAGCCATGTTTTGTAACATCCTCGAACGAACTTCATCTAAAACATCTTCCAGGAAGACAACTTCTCCTCTCCGCGTCTTCATCCCTTGAACTAGCCCAAAGGACACATGCTGGCACCTGTGTGAACAAGCAGCAGGACCTAAAATTACATTTTAATCAGCAGAAATGTTTGCAGTGTTTGTTTAGAGCTGGGTTCTGACCAGGAAACAGCAGTAACAGCTGAATAAATAGTGCTCCAATGTGGGAAGCTGGGTGATATTATCAGTAACTCTCATTTTGGCAACCAAAACTCCATCCATATTATATAATGAGAAAATTACGAGCAGAACTATGATAACCTGCTCATTTGTGCGCTCCTGGGAACCTCTCCTGCTACTAGCTTTAGTACAGAGGGCTCAATGCAATAAATTGATGAGAGGCAGGATGTCGACAGATCAAATTACTGTGGCAACACAAACCTGTTAATAAGATTAGAGAGGGAGTCATAATAATTCTATTGTGGCCACATTAAACTAAAAGTGTAATTAATCATCACTAATAATAAAACATTCTCTGCTTCTGCTCACTCTAATCCCAAGCATTATCCTGGATCCATAACCTAAGGTAATTTTAGTGCAACTGTAAGGAGTGTGGAAGGAGGCAGGCTAATATTCCTGAAGGCTAAAATCCTATATTTAACTACAAAAGGCATGCGGTCTGTCAGAGAGGAATATGATTTAGTCTGCAGATCCGTTATTGACCTTTGCTCAGCTTGCTAACAAGGTCGCTAATCAAAATGAGTAACAGTGGGGATACATTTCCCTGCAATAGATATTTCAGGCCTGGAGCATGATTCAAACTCAGATTCAGATCAGGCCTAAAATATCATACTTCACAAAGCAATAATTTAACAAGGGATCATACAATATCCCAGAAGCTATGCCATAAAGTCTCTGAAAGACTATTTTCCTTTCTCTCATTTTTATATCAAGCAGTTATGGAAGACCACAAAAAGTGGTGGACAAGGCTACTGGGTTTTGCGTCCTGAACACATGGCGGTATCTCCACTTGCAAGGAAAGCAGGAGCACAGTTAGAGAATGAAACAGTTGGTGCTGAGGACCTGAGCCTGCACTGCACACAACTACGGGGGTTTTGTTTTCTTATTTTTCCTCCTTGTTGAACTAGTATTAGTTGGGTCTTACAGGCCAAATGTCTGCTTGCACTCTGCAGTTCAATAGTTGCTCACCTGTAGGAGATCTTATAGCTTAAGTTTCATCCAGAATGTATACATGAGGTGCTACAGCATGGTGGTAGGTAAGCACAATCAGGAGATACTCTTCAAAAGTGCCCCCCACTGAAATTCCACTGTACATATACTCATTCTTCCACTCTCCCCCCCTCCACCACCCAAAAAAGTACATAACCGAAATTTGTAAATACGTACCTTTCAGCCCAGTCATAGCCCATGAGCTTCAGTATTTGGAACAAATGTTGGAAGTGACTACTTTGACTTTTATCTGTCTGAAAAATAGAATTGGTGCATAATAGAAAACACCTCAGGTTAGGTAAGAATTAGCTGTTAACGCACACAGCACCATTGATACTGTGCCAATAAATCACTACAAACAGAATTAAGGCCTGCAAAGAGACAGGACTTGAAAACTGTAACAGCTGAAACACGTGGCAACAAGATTTTGCATTGTTACAAAAGAAATAACCTCTTTAAAAAATGATTATTCCTAGGTCATGGATGCAAAGCCGTGAATTGCAATGAAACCTTGTTGTTCTCTAGTTTCATGTTATGTTACCTGCCCATCAGATTAAATGCCTCTATTCTCAATGCAGAGCCTTGCTGCTCTTGATACATTCCCATGTTTTACATCACCAGACCTCAAGGATCCTTTAACATGGGAAGAGAAGCCTTCCTGAAGCCTGTCAGTGATACAACTACATAATGATAAAGATACAACTATCAGTGATGTACCTGCATGGACTAACACAGCTCCTAGTGAAAGCCAAAAGGCAGCCTTCTTTCCACAGACAAAACTGTCTCCAGAATCCACTAGTTTCTATTGTCTGCAGTGTGGCTTGTGGAGCTTTCAAAAAAAATAAAGCATAAACGATAACATTTTTATATTAATGATGCACCTGTGCTCTCTTCTACTTCCAGTTCTTCTCTCCTGGGACTTAAGGCAGTTTCTGATGAAGTTTCTTTGTGTCTAGCAAGGATCTTCAGAAGTATTCTAGCCACAACTGTCGCCACAAAGTTCATTTTTCTACCTAGTTGCTTTGTCTACACCACTGACAGTCCTTCTTCATCCCTCCCTAAAACACGAGGCTGACAAGAGTGCTGAGATAATTCAATAACCAGTATTTCCTTATTTGTTTGGCATTCCAAGACAGGGAGTGAGCAGTGGGTGAGGTGCTTATCTGTGTTTTTTTCTCAGCTCTACCACTACATTGAGCCTAAAGCACCTGCTTCCTCTTTCAGTGTTTCTCATAACTTGTTCAGCTCCTCATCACCTCTCTCCTGCAGAGGAGCAAGGCTAATAAATAAATGGACAGCGGTGGTTCGCATTTCAAACAAGGCCTTCCAAGCTCTTTTCCACGCACCTCACATACAGGAAAAGCTCTCAGTACATGAAATAAAGCAAGATCTCTCTTGCTAAAAGGTCTTTCAATGAACTTCATGAAGTTTAGATTAAGGGCAGCTCACTGTACTGGCCAACGCTGCCTTGCTGTTTCCTCTGCTCCACACTAGGTCTGAATTCTACTCCTGTTTTATGAGACATTATACATTCTGTGACAGCAACTAGCTTTGTTTTCTAAGTACAAGAGCATGTCCCTTAACACTTTGGCCATCATCACAGCATTTAAAAGCCTCTTTGAAGGACTGCAGTCTTCTGTAAGCAATCAAAAGATGCCAGTCCTTCTGACACTTACTTCCTTCATGACTGGTCACAGTGCAGAACTTAAGTTTGTAATTACCTGTAGGACCTACGCATGTAAAAACAATGTACAGAGCAATGTTTAAAATCATTAAAAGAAAATAATCTAAAAGATTATTTCTGTAGTCCTGTAAGCTACCAAGGAGATAAGAAGATGAAAAGAGAGGCCAAGCTATGACTACTTATTAGGCAGTAGAAGCTAAGTGCCAGGCTTCAGCTGGTCACCTGAAAACGAAGCATCGACTCCTGTGGTTTGGAAGCTGTGTGATACTGCAAGAAGCATAACAGGGAGTGAGTGTTATGCTTAAACAAATCACCTAATTAAAATTTCATGAAAACCAAATTTGTTGAGAAAGATGGAAATAAGTACTAGGAGTACCACACAGCTTTATCTCTGCCTAACACTAAGAATCAAAACATGGATGTGTAAGCAGGAAAAAAGATGAACCCATAGACACTACCACTTCATAAAACACCACATTTTTTGCACACAGCTCCACAGCATTGCAAAAGTAACACAAATGCTTAAGAAGATTTGTATTATGAAGAATTTTTTTATTATTTTTTTTAACCTGTACAAGCCCCTAATTATACACGTCCAAATGTAATCCGAGTGGTTAGCTTTATGGGAGAAGTTTGCTGTCTGACAGTAGGGATTATGATTTATTTTTCATACATAAGAGTTTTCATCTCCTGTTTTGCGTGCAACATTCAGCTGAAATTTCCTCACATTTTTAATAAGTGTCATGCATTTTATAACGTTTTGGCTATTTTGCTCAAATCACTGCATTTCTATGAAATAAGTAGGATTATTTTACTACAAACCACTGATTTACAGCTTTACAGCTACTAAACCAATTTAATGTTCTTTTAAGCAAGTTGACCTAATGAAAACAAAAATTCAGTTATTCCAATTCAGCTGTGAGCAACCTGTTAATATGAGACTATTGTTTCCACACACGTTAAGCTAATGGAGTGAGCTAATGGGCTCACTCCATTAGCTTAACATTCAGCGCACATCCTGATTTGTGCAGAATACCCAGTAATTTTCTTTCTAATTGTTCTTTCTCCCTTGGTCCCCACTAGCTCATGGTATAACAAGTACAAATAGAGATAATTACCTAGCTACATGAACTAGCAGGAAGCTTCCTTAACTCCTAATGAATTGCACTTTCACAGCCACACTGCTCTTTGATGCCAGTGACTCTAGCGTGTCGCAGCCAGCAGAGGCAAAAAAAAAAAAACAAAAAAAAAAACACAGCACCACTAAACAAACCAAGAAAAATAAAACAACAACAAAAACCTGTTCTATGATCACATGTTGGAATGACAAGCTAGCAGTACTTTCCTGAAGACTGAAAATAAAAGGAGGAACGTGACTTAATGAAAAGTTCCACGTAAACTACGTTGGTATTTACTTTTATGTTTATTGATTTCTCCCTCAAATCGTGGTATTTGTAACATTATATTGGCTTTTGAAAAAACTGTACCAGAGAAAATACACAGGCATTATCACATCACAAAGAACATGCCAGAATGTGTATGTTTTTTTTCCACAGGTCATTAATTGACTGTTCATTGGTCATAATAGAACATGATTTTCAAAACATTTTTTTCTAAATCTGGGAAAAAAAGAACATTTAAAAGCATCATGTGATCCATCCTTGGTGGTTATGAAGCTAAAAAAAAAACAACAAAACAGTTCCTACATAATTGAGAAGATAACCCTACAGCTTATTACTGATACTGCTGGAATTGTTAAAAAGCAAAACAATCAAGCACAGAAATATAAAAAGGCTCCCTGCCTACAACTGCTTTGTTCAGATTGATTAAACAGTATTTCATGTATAAATTCTAACATAATGAAATCGAGGCACTGTTCAAAACTGTAAGAATTTACATCACAGATAACACATCAGGACTTTAGAATAAATCCAGATTCATTTTAGAACATTAATTTATAATATTACAACCCCTTATAACACTAAAAGCTTTTTTCTGACTTGTTTAAATATTAATTACTACATTAATATAGAAAATATAATGCCAATTGAATAAAGGTTTCTTTAAAACAAATTAAAATGAAATTTTAAAACAGAGAATTGCTGTTTTTAAACAGAGAATAATTTTTCAACCATTCTGTGGGTCATGAACTGAAACAGAACCAAGAAATACTGCCAGATTGAGGCATAGCTTCTGGGCAATGAGGACAGTCTGTGTTACTGCCAAAACCACCACGTGCCTAAGTTGTATTTGGGAGCAAGAGATCCCCCCAGATTATTGGAGAGAGGCTCAAAGTGTTCATGTATCTAGAATTACTTACCACATAAATCATAGTATCGCAGCTATGCTTCTTCATTCGGTCTATAGCAGCAGCAAGATCTCTGAAAGACATAGTAAGAAACTATTTGGACTTTCACTCAAACTAAACAAGCCTCATTATTTACCACTTCAGAAAATTACCTACTCTTATGAAGGAGAGAGGAGTGCCATATTGGAGCGAAAAAGAGGACATCTGTGCTTTGTTCACAACATGCACTTGAATTGTTTTTTTAAACCACTGGCTATGAAAATTACTGAGGAAACAGTTTTTATGGGAAGAAGAAGTCTGTCTGGGCTTGGCCATGCTTTGCACCTGGTCAGTCCAATCTGTCCTGTCTTCTCCTTAAACTCCATTACTAACTTTTCTGGGTGAGGGGCTCTTCTGTGCGTATGCAAGTGTTTGCAGGTCTACGTGTCAGTTCACTGGAACTAAGGGCTACAGCTCATACGGCAGGTAGTTGAAGCACCCTCAGAGCCAGGTACGTGTGTGTCTTCAAGGCTGGGGTACCAAAGGAGATGGCTATTGGAGATAACAGGAGGTCCATGCCAACTACTAGACTGTGGGGCCGGTGGGGTTGACTGAGAGACCCGTCTGTATATGTGTGGGCCTCTCTGTAGGAGGCAACAGGAGAAAGTGAGGATCCAGGGCCAGCTGATGGATGGACCCCATATCTAAGCCCAGTTACTGGAGGAATCCAACGTGGCTGTGTCTGTACAAGCAACTGGAGCTGCCCTATGGCCTTGGGGGCTCGTGTGCCCAGGTATTGGTTGGTTGGTTGGGCCTATGGGCATGGAACTGTGGCAGCCTCGTCTCTCTCAGGCTCTGGGATTCAGCAGCTACCTGATGTGCAGGATTGATTGCAACCCCTAATACTCTTCTCCTGAAAAAATGTACAGTTTATCCCGAGGGCTAGACATCTGATGATCTGATCTACATTACTGGCCCAAATAAGCTTTTAAGACTTCCCTATCAAAATATCCAAGAGGAATTTTACTGATGAGAAGGGAGAAAAACAGTGATAAAATTGATGGTGCAGTGCTGGTGGTCCACTGAGTCAATGAAGACATGGTTGAACAAGCCATTTTCTTCTGCAGCACACTGTAAACAAACGTTTTAAGCAAGGGTTTTTCTAAAACCTTCATTTGTCAAGTGTTTATGAGATGAAGAGATCTTGGCTTTGTTTTCAAAGCTAGTAGCTGGAGAAAGTATTATGACTTATGGAAAGGGGAGATTTACTAACAGACTGGCTAAGGGAATGAAAAGTATTTAAAAGCAGTTGTTTTTCCCGAGCCATTTTCATCCCATCATAGTTACATTGCTAGTTCCAGTTACAGTTACTCATTAGCCAATATGTTCCATCACAAAAATAAAAAGCTTCAAAATCTGTACTGTTATAAATGTGCTCATGCACAAAAGTTTACTGGCCAAATAAAACCTAATAAACACAGATGAACTTACTTGCCTTGTTATATAAAGAGATGTCCCATCACTACGCATGACCGTGGAATACAACGAGAGGTCTTTTTTTTCTGAAAGATCCACAACTCCTGTCCCTTTTCTGTAAGATGAGAGAAAAGGCTAAAGTAAATGCAGTCCAGATTCAAAATACAGGTAAACTTCAGGTAAGACAGAAACAAACCAGAAGGCCTCTTGCCGTATGACCCCATCCACTCTGAACAATCTTGATCTTTCCTTGAATGACTGCCTCCCAGAAGCCTTGTCAAAGACCATTCCTCTAAGCTGTTGTCACCACTGGTGATGTCAGAGAACCACCTCCTCATATTCTGGTACATTCTGTGAATATAGTTTTCTTCCCCATTCAGGCAGGCAGCACGCAGAAGCAAAGATCTCCTCTGACTCTCCTTGTTAATTGACACACGCAGCTACCAAACTAATCAACAGCTGAAAAGGCCATTAGGAGCTGGCTGCTATCATTGCACCTAATTTGTCATGGCCAGGCTTCAGTGTTAGTGACAAAAAAGGCAAACATTTTTTCTCTGTGATTGCACAAGTCCTGTTGGTTTTCTATTAGAACAGCTATTGAAACCATATAAAGAAAACACTTTCCTGTAGGTTACATACACACCACGGTCATCTTATCTTTTCACTGAAATGTTAAATAAACCACACCAGTAGACTGAAAACCAGGTCATACATTGTTTTCTGAAGGAGTCCTTTATCCTCCAACATCCTCAGAACTTCCTGGGATTTCTCCTGATAAAATGATTCACCAGAATACTCATCAAAGTGGACTCCTAGGCGCTGAAAGGTTCCAAGAATATGAAAGAAAAGAAACATTGTTAGATTAAGGCCAATCATTTCTTCCAATTAAGTCAGATCACAGATCTGTGCCATGGGTCAGAGAGCAAAAATGGATTTTATTCCAAGAAATGTCACTTCATTGTTAAAAGGAAAATACATTTGGATTTTGATATAATCGATTTCTGCATGAGAATTAATCTCCCCAAGCTGAATACAATGTTGGATATAACATTAGAGAAATTAAGAATAAACTGGAGAGAGTGATTACTATGGAAGTTCTGGGGTATGTAATTAACTTGCTGTGCTAAAGGCGAAACCAGTGGACTACAGTTACCTGGCCTTGAAGCCAATCCTATTTTAAAGGATTTAAAGGAGGAAAAAAAAAAAAAAAAAAGCAGGAGCTGCTCACAAACTTTGCTGAGAACACAGAAATCACAATTGCTAGGAAGGATGAAAGTACACCTAGGAGAACCTGGATGACTAACTGCCAAAACAGGGTGAAATAATATAATAGTACAAGGGACGAGGTTTTTAACTGAGGATAAGAAAGGTTGTCAGTCCATCCTCTAGATATTTATTGGTTTGAAAAGGAACTGGGAGAGTGAGATCTAGCTGTATCCACCATCATGTGATGGATGATGAGTAACCATCACGATGCAGTTGCAGACACAGCCCAACACTCCATTCACCCTAACAGGTCAGGCTCCCACTAGAATTATCAAAGCTGTGCCTCACGTAGGAGACTTAACTTAGGGTGCTAGGCATGAATCCAGTGATACCTTTCAGGGAAGAAATTAAAGAAACAGCGAGGTTATCTGGATTATTGAGGGTAGGGCAGGCCACTTCTCTTTTAGTATTGCAAAACAAGGATGAAAGAAGACACGTCTATAAATACGTCATGAGGAGGGGGATGAAAAGTGATATTTGAAGTGAAGAATCATGCTAGCAGAGGGCAGTTGCATAACTAATCACAAACTCCTCGGAACTGGAAGTTAGGAAAAAAAAAATAAACAACCAAACAGTTCAAAATCAGGCACCCACTCCAGAATCTTATTGCAAGAATGTAGGAAAGAAAAACACTAGCTTGTTTTCAGATGGATTCAGGTGGTTCTGGAGCAAGACTACGTCCTATCAATACCAAGAGACTGGGTTCAGTGACAGGAGGTTTATTTCCACTCCTGTTTCACAATTTCATAGCACCGATTTTGTGGTCAATAGTGCAAACTTCTCCCATGAAATGGTGGACACCAGCTCCACTCTTGAGGTTACAGTATACAACAGATGGCTGTATGTTAGTTCAACTCTACCTACAGAGTACTTATGCACTGATTACGACTGTAATCTCCTGCTGCTCTGATTTCTTTCACTCAATTTAATGTGTGGCATACACAACTCCACATTATCACATCAGAAATGTGAAAACAGAGTTATCTCCCAATAAAATTTATAACGTGGAAACTTAAATTTAGTGGGTTGTTGCTGACTTCAAACGTGAAGCAGAACTGAACGATATTTAGCTAACGCTGGTTTGCACTGTTGCTCAGTGCCATGCTCCTGGCTTCAGGGCTCCTGAGAATGGAGGATTAGTCAACAGTCCAATTAGATGGACCCCGTTAAACAAAACCTGTCTAGGTTGCCAGAAACTAAGTGACTCTCCACTTTGATGTTTAATCAACTACTGTGCTTTTTCCAAACAGAACAGAGCATAACCTGGCATATTTAGAAACATCTTCCCCTTGACAGTGTGAAGTTTACCAGAAAGGCAACAAATTCACAACATTACATCAGCCTCTAGTCTTAAATTGCAGTCTCTTGGATGAGAAGGTGCTGTCAATTATATTGATGGACCAACAGATAAAAGGAGACCATTTTACTAGCAACACATAAAAAGCAGTGGATTATTTGTACCTTATAAATTCGGATGTATTCTTCAATGCTGAAGCCCCTAAATTGTTTCCAAAGTGACAACGTCTGCTCATCATGTTCCTCCAGTTTTCTAAAGAAATCTGCAGCCAGCTTTTTAATGTTTTCATCTTCTGCTGCTTTGTTAATCTGCACATACACCTAAAATATAATGGCACTGAAATTGTTGAAGAAATACAATGCTCTCCTCAAACAAAAATAAAGTTCTACACGAATAAGACAAACAAACAGACTAAAGTTGACATTTTTAATGTCAGAAATGTTAAATATGTGTTAAAGGAACACATTTCCTATTTAAAGGATGAACGACTAGCCTAAACTCCAACAGGAAAATGTGCAACTAGCTTATCTTGAAACAAGAGTAATGTCATAATTTTTTACTGCTGTTGCTACCAGTGTCTTCATAACCTTGAAACAACCACAGCAGCAGAACATAGAAGAAATAATTTGCATGAAGGGGAAACCATCACACAGTTTTAAACCAGAGACCTTTCTTCAGAGGACCACAAAGTTGATACTTTGCACTGCCTAGAAATTAGCTGGCAGTTGAAGCAGCACCCTAGGTGGTGCCATTGTTGTACCAAAAATAAACGACAAAAAACAAATTGAAACCAAACCAACAACAACAAGAGTTCTGAGCCAAAAGCCACATACTTATAGTACTAGGTATCTACACTAACACTTGCTGCCTCTCTGTGGCTGGAGTCAAGTATACGAATGTCAATACCTGACTAGAAAGGCACATGCACTAATAGTTAGCTAGAAGTGTTACTAACTCGTTAGCTGATCTTACCAAGGTACACCAAAATTGGCTCTCCTGTTCATAAACAAATTCCTTTCTATACAGAGGCCAAATATTTCACCAGACAGTGATTCTCTTCTCTCCATGCGTAAGAATTTGAAAGCTGATTGAAAAGTTTTTAAAAAGATATAGTATTACGTAAAAATAATAACATTGACCAGTGGTTACACTGTGTATTTAGACCCAAAGAGTTCAATGCAGATTAACTTTCAAGTCTTTGTAAGAGAGTTTTGATCCCCAAATCACTGCAATCTTGATAATATAAACTTCACTCTTGCAATGTTCAGACGAGTTTGCCAAGAATACCTTGCTTGAATGGGTCTGCCTATAAAAAAAAGCTTTCACAGCAAAACTCTTGAACTTTTCCCCTTCCTTTCATGTCCCAAGATTTTTAGAGTATTGCTGACAAGCCTCAAAGATTAATGTTTGCTTAGTTCTGCCACAAAAAAGGAACTTAAAGTAGAGGAAAAATTCTACCCTGTCCAAGAACAATGCTCCCCCTCCTACGAACAATGGCTTCACACACTCTAACCCCTTCCCCATCTCTGATGCTGTAGAGCAAAAATAATGCAAAAGACATATTTGAATCTGACGCTTGGCCAAAATATAAGGTGCAAAGTTATTTGGAAAGATACGTTCATCCACATATTTATTTATACAGAGACGGTGCCATGGAAATTTTTAAAGTTCATGTAGCTATAGGAAAGATTGGTTTCATACAACAGCAGAAAAACACCCCTTTAAAACGTGCTTCTGTATTTGATACAGTCCAGGAACACAGCTGAACAAACAGTTAAAAATAGGGAATATTTGAGAACTGTAATTTGGTCTCAAACAATTACTGCTTTAGAATCTTACAGCTCAACTGAACACTATTCACTAAATCTAAAGATAATTTTCAAGGTCCTAAGGCCTACGTGCTGCTGCAATCTATTGCAGCAAAGCTGCATTAAGCTAAAGCTTTAATGTAAAATTCAAGTAGGCAAATTTTAAATCCTAAGAATGGACTGAAATTATAAATAAGAATTAAATAACATACATCAATGCATAACCACAAGAATGCGACTACTACTTTCTCTCTCTGGAAATCAGCCCTAAGGCTCTAAAACACATCCACGCTAATAATCTATCAATTTTCTTGAGCAGGCTTCATGGGTGAGGGAACGAGAAAACAAAACACTCCTATGTCAGAGAGGCTGGCAAACTCAGAAGAAGCTATTCTGCCACATAAACAACCTGCCTAATATGTATGCAGTTGTACAGTGCCCAAACATTCAACCACACTTTGTTCCTTTGCCAGTAAGCAGGTTTATGTGAAAGGGTTAGCCCGATGTACTGCCTGAACACCTGCATTAGCAATAGTTCCCACATCCAGCTTGGAAAGTAAAGCTTAACTCAGCATCCTTGTGGCTGTTGGATTGGTACAACACACACTGTCAACCAAAGATAACTTAAAAGTATCAAAAGATTCACAAAAGCCTTTTTTTTTTTTTTTTTAATTTGCCTATTGCACTGTTTGAAACAAGAAGTAACGTAGGAACTGGTAAAAAGGAAGAAATAAATACTGACTTATCTGGATGAACATCCAAAATCCTATCAGTTCTGTAAAAAGAAGACTTGTTAAACTATGACAGCCTGTGTGGAGACTCCAGGGAATTCGTTTGTCCCTGATGCACAGAAATGCAAACTGTGACACCTGCACTGTGTCGAGGCAGGCATGGTGGGCAACCAAGAGAGCACCCCCCTGCAATTAAACAGCTTTCTCTGCTGTTGGAAGGCTTTTCATTAACACCTGCCAACAGAAATTGCACCTTCTAATGGTCCTGGGTCTTACACACAGCTGAAAGAAAGAACAATCTGCAGGGCTGGAACAGCAGTCTGAAAAGTGACAGTCTCTTCTCGTTACCTGTATGTATGTTAAGGCTCCACAGTAGCTCCAAAACACCTCAAAGATAACCTGCCCCCAACCATCGTGAATTGTGTACTGAGCAATGGAAATGAAACATTACTTGTTCTAAAATACTGGCAACAAGAACATTTTTATACCACATATGCCACTTCTTTCAGTGTAACTGAACACAGCTTTGGTAACCAGCACACGACAGCATCAGACTTCCTTCCCACTGCAGTCACCAAAGCTGTGCTCGGAGGTCATCGCTGCCGAGTTAGGACAGCTGATACTGGTCAAGCTGTGGCAGTCGCAGCACCCCATGCAACCCGAGGACCCATTCAATTCCCTCCCTTAGGAGGTGTATTTTTCAGTCTAACTGAAACCTGTCCCTGCTGTCACGGGCAGCTGTCTTTCAATGAAGTTGTTTAAATACAACATGATTGCACAAGTCCCTCGTGACCCTGCAGAGGCACCATCCTGTACAAAACTGACAGTGACATTAAATGGATTATCCTCTGAGGTACCCAAATGGTCTTCTCTGAACTTACCTCGAAAAGGTGCTGTAAAGGACTGGATTTTAGCTTCTCTTTATCGCCGAACTGTTGGAAACCAACACCCAGTAAACCTTGAAAAACAATTAAATACAGAGTTAGACAACAGCCCAGCCCAGAGTGTATTGTTTTGCTGATTAAGTTGTTTTAATAAGCAAGCCCTGTCGTAGCACTCTATGTAATAAGACAAATTGCCTAAATATCTAAACAATGTAATAAGTACAGGCTATAAAGAGATCAAAAGCATAGCCTTTTATTCTGCTGTACGAAAAAAGCTTTAACAGCTAGAAATTAGTATAAAATACAATGTCAACTTTTCAATTCCTCATAAATGGAATTTCTTCCTAGACTTGCAGATAAAGTTATATTTTACACAGCGACCAGCTGAAAACACAAAGCCATACAGGGGAAACTGTCCAGCAAACAGAATAATCAACCCCCTTGTTTGGCTTCCTCCCTTAGCAGCATTATCACTTCAAGGACAGTAGAAACTGGGACACAACGCAGTTATTTCACATACCACTCATGCAGTACTCTGAAGGGAGCTTTTTGCTAAATGCTGAGAATGTGCAGCTTTTCTTCGCATTATCTGATCTGGCTTCAGCACTTTCTGAAAGCCATCTGAAAGGGCAAGAAATTCAACCCCCCAACTGATTGTCTAAGTCAAAAGAGCCCATTAATTCATTCCGTAATCTAGCTTTATTAACCCCATAGCCTCTTAGATTATCCGAGGCTGCTTTTAAGGTCATCTCTTCCTTCTGAGCCAACAAGGACCTGGACTGATATAAAGACAGCATCTGAGGAATGCGGGCACCCCTTTGAAAGCCCTCAGCAGCTAAGCAAACAGCGCTATCTCCAGAACTTCCCTCCCGAAAACAACGACTGCGATAGAAGCTGTAGCAGATTTAGATAGGAAAAACAAGTTAGAGTTTAGGAAACAAAATGCGTCTGATCCTATTGAGAGGGTGTTTCTTTAAAGATAGCCGGCTCTATGGGCTTGGCTTCTTAATGATCTCTCTTAGTGTACCTACACACCCCACTTTTCCATGCTGGTTTCACAGTCCAACCCCCAGCAAGCCTTCCAGCTTTCATTCACCCCAAACACTTCCTTCCACGTGTCTCTGTCTTCTCCTAAACATTTGTTATACTCCCCAATTACTGGCAAGATGTAGCACGAGCTGGGACTGAATTTGACCGAGATGTGCTGACTGGTGAGCTGACAGGCTGAGCTCAGAAGTTAACTTTCTCTCCCTGAAGGCACTACATTGTATTCCTACCCCTACACGTCCGCCAGCTGTCACAAAACTAGGAGAACTTTGTTCTCCGGGATATTTTTTGTCAGATCTGGCTGAGGTTGCCCAATGCATTCAGAATTTATTAAGAGCAGAGCGTCAGGAAGATGGATGGACTGACAGACGGAACGACTGCCTGAGATTTGTTACCTGAAGAAACCTGCCCCAAAACTGCTTCAAGCTTGAGGACTGCTCCGCCATTTTTCAGCAAAACACATTTTCAATTATTATTTTTTAGAGCCTTCAACAATGGGAGTTGTAATGGAAATGCTGACAGATTGTTAATTATAGCACCGCTTCTGGGAAAGGACTAATATACTAATATTCCTCTGCTATAATTCTGTGAAGCATGACTGTGTTATTTGTTATAAAGCCTGTCACATATTTGAGCCGAGCCAGCCCAAATAGAGGAGGGAGCACCCATCTGGAAAGCTACACTTGGGACTGCTCTGTCAGTGGTACCATTTTTAACAGCTGTGCTCTGGACAACAGGAATATAGGTAAATAACACACAGTCATCCTTATTCTTTCTAGAAACTTTGTGTTAAATTTCCTGGTATTCAGACTTACGAGTACCATTTATCTCCAACGAGTGAATGAGGTCAGCTGAGAAGCCCTTTGCCTTTTGCATTTTATTGCTTAATTGCCATTGCCACATTCATTATGCAAGCGCTGGTGATAAAAATAATGTCTATGGGGTAAAAATGAATGAAATACGTAATGATGAAATTTATTTAATTTTTTGTAAACTCATTCTGTATTCAATTCTTACAAAAGAAATCCTAAGTAAAGTGAAACTGCTATAAACTACGGTTTGACCAGAAACATGATCAGAACAGAGAAGCTGTGGAGGAAATAATTTGACAAAGGAAAGAAAAAAAAAAAGAAAATAAATTCTATTACTGCTCTCACAGTCATAAGAATATTTCAGCCAACTGTCTACAACCCAGGAATTTACTCTAGAAGGAGAACTGATAGAACTAAATATCTTTTAGGTGTATCATCATTACTGATGAACGTGAATACATAAATAGAGTAGGATATTTCTGTTACATTTTTAACCCAGTTTACTCACAAAGTTGATTAATTAAAATCCCCCGAAGCATTGAACCAGCTCAACTGAAGGGGGCAGTATACGGGCTGCAAAGAGCTAAAATGACTGCTTGATAAGACATTTCACTTGGTGTTTGGCAATTAAAAATAAATATAAATGCTGTTTCCAGACCCCACTGCAAAAACTGTGTGACAGTTCTATAGTTTCCATGAACGTATCAGTTTTCAAGAATGAGAAAATGGGCATGGCTGTGTTTCTTTTTTCTTCCTAAAAATAGGTCAAAATCAGCTTTCAGGTGGGGGATTAGAAAAGAAGTGGAGAATTTAGATAAATTTTAAATGCAAGATTAACATAAAAAAACAACAAAATTGGGAATCCTGTGGATGGGTCAACTGCCATATGTGAATAGTATTTACAGACCTAGCAAGCAGACACAAATGAACTCTAGTCAGGGAATAAATACCAGCCACACGGGACTGCATGAAAGGATTTCTCAGTTCTCACTTACCTGACGGGCATTTTGGTGGAGGTAGCAGTGTGTATATGCATGCAAGCAAATGCACATGCAGGCAAGATTGACAGTCTTCTAAGAACTCACTTGCACATTCTCTACCTACACATCTCTCCTTTTGCTACATTTTAATGGCAAACTGAATATTTTGGGGGAAGTATTGGAATACCTTTAATAATACAAACACTCAAAGCATTGACCTACCAAAATGCTGTTGCTAAACAAGTTAGTTTTACTCTGTGAATAACAAACCTGTTTCCACAGGGGAAAAAAATAAATAAATAATAAAAATATAAAGACACACACAAAGACAACTAAACACAAGAATATAACTTCCTTTTTTTTTTTTTTTCCCCAAACAATCATTCTATTCTTATGCATACAGGTGTGGCATAGCTAAGTTAACAAACTTACTCTCCCACTATTCCTATTACCCATGCAAAATCTGAATAAGGAGGACAGTAGTATCACCACAGACATGCAACAGATATGGTATCATGTATTTATGTTGTATGGAGGCAGCAACAGTAGCCTGTTCAGCCACTAGAGCACCACAAGTACAACCACCACTCTCAAAATATTTCTCCTGTGCTTTAAAAATAAACCTAAAACAACACACAGGTAATCTGAGAGCTACTGAGGAACCGTTGGGCAAATTTCCTCTTGTATTTCTTGCATGGCAGTATACGTCATACCGCTGATGAATCACTCTGGATTGCTTTGTTTTTGTCTTAAGGAGACTAACAACACAATACTGTACTTTATGAGCTCAGGGTGAATCCAACGTGCCTGCAAAAACTGAACTTGGAAACCCAGACCACGTTATACAGTTGAAAAGTGAACAGTAGAAACAAATATCAAAACATACCAAACTGCATGCCCCAGTCACCAAGGTAATTTATTCTTGTTACTTCATGTCCCAGTGCAGCTTTGAGATTTGCTATAAAATTCCCTGGTAAGGAATCAAAATTGGTGTTATTATGCAAAGTTGTAGGTCAACCTCATCCGATCAATTTTATGGTTTTGTCATATTGAAAAGGAAAAGGAAAAGCAAATCAGTCAGGTGAACTACTCTACACGATGCGCTAAAATACTTCCAAACTTAAAGCAATAATAAAAAAAAAAGCAGCTTTGCATTTGAGAGGTGCCATAAAGCGTCTCATGCAGATCCGTATGTTTGTGTCTCTGTTGTCTGTGCATGCACATTCTGGAAAGTACATGACTATAAAAAATCCTTATGTTCATAAGGAGCCATGTACGACTTCTCGTATATTCACAAATACATGGTAGTATCCATATTTCCCTTCTCAAAGCCAAGAAACCTCATACCAGGAGGTTAAGCAAGGACTGATATTCACAAACTGCTCTTAACTGTGAAGTTAAACAGAGAACAACTCCAAGTCCTTGAACAGTACTGAACTTTTCACACACTGTGTGTCTGGTATGTTCCAAACTTACCACATCACATAAGAACATCTTGGTTCTAACTGTTATTACAACAAAAACCTTTTGTCTTTCTCCTGAGTTTTGCTGTATCATAGAATTACAAAGAAGTAATACATGCAACCAAGAAATAAGTGCAGCCCTTCCCCTATTCTTCTGTGCTTCAAGGGTACCTTTTCATTACAATACTGATATAAAAGGTTGCAAAAAGCTTTCTCTTTTTCTTTTATTGTAACGCCATACTATAGTCTGCAATCACTTTCCATTCCTATTCCCTGTCATCAATTCATTCTGTTTCTATTGGATGAACATCCACCTACAGAACTATTTTTGATTTTTTTTTTTATTTTTTTGTAACAAAGGGCCCGGAAATGCAAGCCAAAAATACGTAACGCCACTCAACCTTCAGTCCACGAAGAGGCAGATTTATTAATTTTATGTAACTGATAATTATACATGATACATTAGTATAATTAAAAATAATGCATTATTAGCTCAACAGATGCTGTAGGGTCTTCAGCTAATAACCTACAAATTTTAATGAGACAGGGCAAAGGCAGGGAGAAATGATGTTTTCCATATGCTATTAGAATACTGCACAATAAACTACTTAATTATTCCATGACAAATGACAGCAACTGTGTCAGTAATAGTAGCATAGAGGAATTAACACATAAAAGCAAATGTCTTGCAAGACAGCCACCAAGACATAACTATCTGCTCTGCAGTCCAGCACAAATCAGAAATTTAAAATTCAAAGGACTTTCATAACACCTCAATGAAAACTGCCCTGGGTGTCTTTGTGGAACAATTTTAAAGTACTTCATTTAATGTTCACAGTCATAAAACTATATTACGTGTGACTTAATAAATCTGCCAGCAACACACCATGCTCTTTTCTTCACTGTATAATGAGGAAAAGGCTTTTAATTAGCAAGTCAAGCCTGACACAGCCACTCCACCAGGAGTGAAAGGTTAGCCCAATTCCCCTGTCAAGTGAATCATGGAGACAAGAAGTCCTTTCAGGACGCACACTGAAACGCATACTCACCTATTATTGTGGAACGCAAGTGTCCTATGTGAAACTTTTTGGCAATATTAGGGGAGCTGCAACAAATTTCCACAAATAGCATTTGTTCAATGTACAAGGCTGCCACATCTCCAACTCAGAAGTATTCAACTCATTAGTAACAGCAGAAGAACTGTAATTAAACCACAACTTTCACCTTGCCCTTGTAATTCTCTGATTAGTTTTTGTTCCAAGTAGATCTCGATATCAAACCAACTTTTCCTCTTGTATCAGCAAGCAGCCAGTGTTAAAGAAAAAAAGAAAAAAAACACACCAAGGAACCTCCCAATATCCAAATATACGAGTGACAAAGGACTTACACTGCTGTCTCACTTTCACATTTATTGGACTTAAGAATCATGTTCTTCAGACTTTTATTAGACATAAATCTGGTACCAGAACAGGTAACTTTGTATACAAGAATCAGTAATTAAAATCACATTCTCTACCAACAATGTCCTTTTCAAAGCTTGTAAATGGCATATCGTTATGCAAAACAAACAAACAAAAAAAACCAACCCACCTCCAACACGATTTTATAATGTAAACAAATGTTTTGTTTAGTTTGTTGTTTGTATTTTAGTTCACTTTAAGCTTACAATAGTGGCATATTATTAATGTGTCTTAAGCATCCATTTGAAACAATACTACCAGACAGCTGAGCTAGATCTTCACAGGTTGCAGCTTTGTTATCAACAAAAGGAAAAAGGAACACTGTGCCCACAATTGTTTGCCTTCAAAAACAAAATTAAATTTCAGCTATGAACATCCACCGTCCAAATTAAAGGCATGTGCTGACTTTCTGACTAAGGAAGCCTACACAAGGAGAATAGGTGAACAATTTTATTAATTTGTTTTTCAATACAAAAAGTGATCCAAGTCAACCAATTTTCTTTCCATGCACAGGTTACCACAAACAAAATAGATACTGGCCAGAAGTTCTGGGGCCAGCAACTAAGAAGATTTAGCAAGATAAATGCTTGGCTGCTCAAGCAAGTCAAGGATGAAGGTAGTGAGGACAGCTAAGTAACAGCTTTGGAAACTGAAACCCAGGTGGAAGAAGAAGTGCATTACTGGCTGAAAATTCAGATGATGTCTCTTGATAACAAGATAAAAGAGGCCTACTTAGAAACTGAATGCTATTATGCACTAAAGGAGAACGAGGCATGAACTCTTCAAACACCAAAAATACATTCTGGGAAAAGCCTCAATTCCCTAAATAAAACTTAAATTCTACTTGGCAAATCTATCAGAGTATTAAATACAGATGAATGTAATCCCATAAATGTGGTTTAACTTCACAGGCACCGCACATTACGGCAATGAATATCAATCAGCAGACAAGGCTGTATTCTCAAAGGACTCATCGCGAGTGCTTACCTGAACTCAATCACTGCCTTTTGTCTAGGCACCATCGAGAAAAGTTCACTTTTTATTCCATATTGTGAGCCATCTTTCAACACCTGCTGCAGCACAGGTCTAAAGCATAGGGAAGATAAAATGAAGGAAAATAAGTATCAACAACAGAAAATGTGATCAGGAAAACCATCTACCAACCACACAGGAGTCTGATCCCACAGCTGGTTTTCACATTACCAGTTAGATGGCTGGTCTGCCAAGAAAACAAGGTATCACATGCACATGGAAATGCCATTAACTTTTGAAAGCTGCACCGGATCAATTAAATAAGTTAGACAAATTGTAAGCAGAGATTTTGGTGAAAATCTAAGCTGATTTTGGTAAAAACTTAAAAGGAGAAAGCGTAGATTTCATTAAAACTGTTTAGTTACACAACATCAAAGTGCTGGAGGGTCACCCAGAGGTAATCAGTAAGCAGGAAAGGAAAGTCAGCCCAAGAATGTGGGTAAAATAGTAACCTCCTGTAAAATAAAGGCATTCTCATGTAAATAGGACTCTTACCTTACTCTGTCTGACCAGGACCCTTGCCATGCCTAATTCAGGTAACACATTTTAAAATAAAAGCTATCTTGTAGAACTAAACCATAGATTTTGATCAAAGACTGGGAGAGCTTATAAGCAGTAGACTTGATGAGAGAATTTATTTCATTGTGCAGCCAGATGTTCTCAGCAGACTTTTTTTTCTCCTTGATTTAAAAAGAAAAGCTACATAGCATACCTCTGAGCTTCCTCAAAAGTGCATTCTTCCCATGAATAAATCTTATCAAGGCACACTTTGAGGACTTTGGAATGAAATTCCTATGAGTCCTGTCCTAGATCCAAAGTTTTTGTCAACGTGTGCATGTAAAGGACATCCACTGCACACAGCACAACCCAGTCACAGAGGTCCAGCCCTTAGGGACACATCAGATCTCCCACACACTCCTTATCACTAAGGGCCTGCAATCCAACGTGCTATAATTGTACGAGCATTACCGTGCTTATCCAGGTCACCTCAACAGCACATGAAAGTGTTTTTATTTTCAGGAAATCCGACACAGAAGTTCAGGATTTCTAGCCTTTGTGACTACCACTAAAGCCAGCCTAAGGGACAAAACTGCAGAATGCTCTCCATCAGTTCACTGCAGGTAGACTGAAACAACAGCTTATGGGAGATACCTCATGGTCTGATCATTCTTAATAATAACAGGATACATACACGTCAACCAGTGGTTTAAGTGAAGAAAAACCAGACAAAAGAGGCTTAGCTTTTTCTGATTTCAGTAATACAAATGCTTTCATTGTTCTTTCTAGAACACGAGGCAGACTAACATCTCTAGCTTTTTCCAGTTGCTTAACATCACTGCCCACTGTATGTCTTCATTAATCTTTTTTTAGGAATAGAATCTGCTTAATGTTCTTTTCCTTTCCTGTTGGATGAGAGTATGCATATGCAATGTGGAAACAGAAAAACAGGAGACTTTTGCAAGATCTTAAGGCTCCTCAGAATCACCAAGTTACTTAACTCCAAAACAGGAAGAAAAACAACAACCCACAACACTCACATTCTACTAAGACTGCTAGGTTTTCCTAGGCATCAAAAGCCAGCCTGCTTTCTACACCTCTAGCACCAAAGAAAGCCAACTATTCAGTCTTCACGTGTCTAAACACCCCTTCTCCCACCTGCGAGTCTGTGAGAATGGCTTGTACAAAAGCACGTCTACTTTGAAAGCATGGAGATGGTCTAAAATGCCTTCAGATATTTCCTCAACAGCATGAATGTAGTTTGTGGAAAGAGGAATCCTACGCTTCATCAGTACTGCAATCATAGAGCAAGATAATTCCCTGTATTCACCCTGCATTCTTCAGTTTGTCGCAGTGATGCCAATACACTACGAAAACTAATACACAAAGCTGTAAGTATCGGACAAACTTCCTGAAGATAGTACAGGCCTCTAGCAATGTGAGCTGAAGTGGAAATCTCATTCCATTCAGTGGAAAGTTGTTTGTTTGATTTTATTTTTCCTAAAGTCACCTTAAAACACTTCTGCAGCAGAAATAACAGATGTAGAAAAAAGGAACTATGCCTGTAGAGAAACCTTTAATGCTGTTTTCATTATGGCACCTTAGAAGGTAAGCCAGACACACAAACAAATCGCAAATTTATCACAGCCTTATTCTCCTTATTAGTGAAAGTCACAGCTAAGTCTTCTCTCCTCCTCTCTCCTCAGTGATATAATGCAAAATTCTGTGTTCTAATCCCACATTTCTTCCAGCAAAACTCTACTAGGCCAGACACATGGTTTTGCTTGACTCATTATACTGAGTAAAATCCCTACAGACAAAGCACCTTGTCAAATCCTGCCCGTGAATACAATTTAACACCAAAACTGTTCTTTCAGTGAATAGTCAGGTGTTATGTTCTTATCATGATGGATTACAGATAGTTAATGAGAGTTTAAGGAGATGTTTCCAGGCAATACATAAAGCAGGCAATTGATAGGAATGCCTAGGCATTAGCAACTCACAAGGCGACTTATCATTCAGGAGGAGATGATAACAAGCCTAAGTGACTCGCTCAGTGGAAGCCCTGATAGGAAGAGAGCTTCACCAGCATGAGGTAAGATCTGATTTCCTGCCCAAATCACACGTGGCTCCTTTTCTAAGACCACGATGTTATTTCCACAAAAGCTGCTTAGATTAATGCCTTGAACATCACCACAATGTAGCTTGCAACCCAAGTTAGTTCAGCTGGCTTAGCAGGGCTTTCATTCACTCCCCAGTTGAACAGCACCAGCCAGCCACCCACCCTAATGCAAGTTCTTGAAAATAATCCAGACCGAGTGCAACCAAAATGCTACTCTTATGGACCGAGTGGTATCTTCCTTTCACTAAGTTACTGGTTTAACAAAATTAAGATTTCCATTCCAGTCAGATTGGACGTTGCAGAATTTTTGGCAACAAAGTAGTAATGGTAGATTTGAAGTCAGGTACTTTTGTTTCAGGTATCTTTCTACCATCCTTCTTTATTCTAAACAAGAGTTTATATGCAAGACCAAAATTTTGAGTTGTGTACTTCAGAAACACAAAGAACATGTGAAGTCTGCCTTTTAGAGCAGAAACATGAAAGAAAAAGAGAGGGATTGTAACTGAAGGATAGATGCATTGTTTCCTCAAGAGGATGAACTTCTGTGAGCCTCATTCCCAATTCTAGACCTACCTAACAAAGCAGCATCAGGAATCCTTGAGTAGAACTGATGAAAAACAAGCAGATATGTATAGAAAGTATCAAAGAGTATGGTTAAGTATTTTAGAGTTTTACATTGCAGGAATTTACTGAGGGACTTTAACACATCTGAAATATTGTACTCACCTTTGCCAGTAATTCCCTGTTTATCGTAAAGTTCACTGTTCCTGGACCAGGTGCTGATTTCACTCACTACAGCATCACATTTTAGCTATAAGAACAAAACAGAGCAGCAACTCTCCATGAAAACAGGTAAATCAGAAAACTTTAATTCAATCCACTAAAAATATTAATTGAATCCACTATAAATATTAAATGACTTTTATCTGATTGTAAGCAATCACAGATCATTTAATCCATACATTTGAAAAAAGGATGATTTTATTATTTCTAATCCATGCTTACTAGCTCTGAACACAACTCACTCTGAAATGTCACACACTTGTTTTGCTTCAGTCCTTGCTTGTGTCCAGGCTGTGTTAATTTATTTTGGCTATGAGCAGCAGATGATCTCTTTGTACACACAAAGGCTGAGATGCATTTGACAGCTTCACACAGTGTGTGTGACAACAACAACAAAAAGATCCACGTCTTAAAGAAAATCTGAGACAAGCTTTGGACTGCTGTATCTCAAAGTTCCTGACTTGAACTACAATGCCTTGCAGCAGCCAGTGATATAAACTAAAGATGTTAAAGGTTTATATATTAAAGATTCCATTTACAACTTTCAGAAGGCTCGTGTTTTGAAAATTCTGAAGCTGTAAGGAATGTATAAGCTCCTCTAATGTCAACCTACTCTTTACACAGATTTTAGTCTCTTTACAGGTTGAGAGTTTTGGCTTCATTTTCATTAAAGTAGCTTCCTTTCATAGACAGGACATTTTCTCAAACAACAAAAACTAACAAACAAGTTATCTTCTATTGCTTTTTGTTTATCTTATAACTTGGTCTTTGAAAGAGGCAAGCTACATATTCCTACTGAAGCACATCAGCACGAAGAAGAAATTCTATCCCCATTCTAGGTCTTGTAGTTAGACCCTACCTCAAACAGGAGTAATTACTGTTAGCCTGTAAGTTCTTTAACCTTAACAATCTCCAATAACAACAAATTCCATTGTTTATTCATAAGCTACATGAAAGAAATATCTCTTTTATTGACTCTGAATTTCCTTCCTCTTTGTTTTACTGAAGGCCCATTTCACCCATGTTATGGGGTAGATATAAAACAGAAATTCCCACTGCACTTTCTCCATACTGTTTGTTCTGCTAAATGTTTTCTACATCATCTGTCACTACCATCTCAGTGTTTTTCAACTCTTTAATATGAGAGCTTATTTGTCCTCTCCATAGCTCTATCAATTCTTCCAAGTACTTAACCATTCTTTAGTAACCAGATCTCCCCAGGCCTATGGCTTGGATCAGAATGCCGTATCAGAATATCCTATAAAGGCATAAAAAGAAAAAAAGTTCCCTCTCAGCCAAGAACTAACAGTTGAAAGATGAAGCAAGAAGCAGCCACCCAAATAAAATCAAAAGCCAACAGAAACAAGACAATTAGAACCTTAATGACAGACTCAGCATATCTTAGCATATTATGTTCCATTTGGCATCATGTTGCCTTATTATTTTGGCTACTTTAGTCAATGGGAACTATTTCAGTCTCTTCTGCCTAACCTAAATATCTGTATTTCAAACATTGTGACCAATTTCCTCTTCAGTGACTGAGAAGAGCATGCTATTGAAATTCGAGGTACTCTATCAACTTTTTTTTTATCATGACAAACACTGATCACTGCCTACATTTCTGTCTCACTGCTAATTTTTGATATTATGGTTATATTCTGCATATTTGTATTTCTATACTGCTTATCTTTGTGGATGACACGATCAGTCTAAACAAATGATAATAAATGCATCGCCTTTATCCAATATCCAACAAAAATGATTCTAAGAGATTAGAAGTTTTTTTTTTTTTTTTTTTTTTTTCCCCTCCTTTGGTTAACCAGCGTGGTGTATTCAATTTCTGAGCTTATATTGATGGTTTGCTCTTTTCTACTGTTACATCCGCCTTGCCCTGTAAAGATGTGAGGCTCGGTGGCCAAGATTTATTTAATGAGCCAGAACCAATAAAATACACATTTGTAGCTTTCACATCACTGGTAACAGCAGTTTTTAAAGTGACAGACTAGACACCAGGAAAAGAATCGCTACCATGATGTTACAGTCATGGGAACAGAATGCCCACAGAGGCTGTTACATCTTTGGAGGCTTATAAAACCACAGTGGATTTCAAAAGTCTTAAGCAAACTCATCCAAAACCCCTCAATAATCCACTTTGAGGAGGAGACTGGAACAAATCACTTCCTGAGGCCCTTTCCAACTTACATTATTTTATGATGCTAGATCATCTTAAAGTTGTTTCAGAACTTTTGGTTGTACATCTGTGCACCATCAGCTCTTCCTCTGCCTGAGTCAGAATATTCACGTGTTACAAAAATGGGTCCAAAGTGTGGTTCTCTTCAACATCTCAGCAGTGGAGTATGAAATGAGGAAATAGTTTAGCTTCTCAGTGACAAATTCTTTTATTTGACCTTTTAAACTCCTGATCATATAGCAACCCTACTGATTCCCTCTCAAACTTATTCTTTCTGAGGCAGATGAAACATCTTTTTTACGCTTTTATTATTTGATCTACTGCCTCTTTGCAGCTAACATTGTCACTACTTCTTAGTTTATACTCCTCTTCATCAGCACCAGTAGCAACTTCTTAGGATTTTTTTAATCTCTAATGATCCCTCAAAACCTAGCATCACCTTTCTGGTCCCTCTTCCAACGTTATACATACCAACCTCTCTGAAGTTTTCTTCTCTTCCGTGTACCTTTTGTTTCTTCAAGATTCATGTCACTTATGTATATCTTGTTTTGCCTGTTGCTTCTTTTTTATTACAGTAGTTAGCCTTAATGACTCAGCCACTGCAATTTCCCATGGCCTGAAATGGCCGTGAAAACATTACTGTTCTAAGAAACCTCAATTTCAAACAGTTAGTGAGAAGACTGGCCTGTTTGACCCACAGGTTAAATTTCTCCATTGTGATTCTAGTGTTGGAGTTTGCCATCTTTGATTTCTCAGGCCACTATGTACCCAATTTTTTCCTCTAGTTTTGGTCAACAGTACGGACCGCAGCAGAGCTTTTAGGCAGTGCCTCCTAACTCACAAACATGACTTACTCTCAAACTATTTTAAAACCACAATTTCACAAAAAAAAAAAACTAAAACTGCTCCTCTGATTACCTGTGAAGACTGTACAATGACAATAGGTGCTGTCATTACACTCCTCTGATCCAAAGAGATATTTGAAGAAAGAATACCATTTACTTTATGATGCCTGTTACATCCCTGGTCTGTAAGTTCATTACTGCATCAAATACATGGAATTAACATATTAGCGTACCTTCTCGGCTAGCTTCTGAGCTTGAAGCTGAAGATCTTGTGCTAAGCAATCACCAGAATGGTTTTCTAGAACAGAAGCAACAGAAAGCTGGAAATCAGCAACATGCCTGGAAAAAAAAAAAAAAAAAAAAAGAACAAAAGAACAGATGAAAATCAGGGAAAAAAGTGTTGAAATGATGTGGAGATTTGACAAATCCAAGCTGACTCTGCATATGGCAAGTCTAATTGGCAAGCATAACACAGCCACTGGTACCCAAAAGTAAGCTACGTTTAGAAAGCCACAGTAGAAAGCTAAATATTACCGTTGCTCTAATACAACTGTAAAATACATATGGTAAAATCACCACATCACAGTAAAAAAAAAAATGTTACACTTATGAATAAAAGTAGTTTATCTGCCGAAAATACTACACCTCTTAAGCATGACAGGGAAAAAATCTGTAACTTCACATTGGTTCTAAGCAGTTTCACATTGAGTTAATTTATTAATACTGAAACATTTACCATTCAAGTGGTGCATATTATTTATATTTTTGGAGCAATTATATTTGTATTGAGCTTGCTTCAAAAAACAGAGTGGTTTAATTAGATTCAGGTATCTTCTTATAATTGGACCGGTATATTAGCTTCGGTTTGCTTTTCTGTATTTCTATTTCCCTGAAGCCCTGTTAAGCCATTGCACTAATAAACATAACCAAAAATAATATAACATGACAAGATATTGTAAGATGAAGTGCAAACTCTACCGTTTTTTGGAGACAGGAACTGCAGATATGGACTTTATTAGTTTTTCTGGCGGCAGATCCAAAACTTTGGAAAGCTAAATTTGAAATAAAGAACAAAGTGGCTTAAGTGAAAAAGACCCAGGAGAAGCACTGCCCCCTGCTTATATACTTGTGAGGGATTTTCAAGTAAACTTCCTCTCAGGGAAAGGAAATAAATAATTATTGAGTACTTTAAGCTTGCTTTTTTTCCAATTTGCAACGCAAACGCAGGCAATAGTAAAGAAACCTTAGAAAAGGGAGAGGGAAAAAATAAAAGACAAGACAAAACATCGCGTACAGGTCCTTTATTTCACAGGATAACGTTTATTTTATTTATTTAGTTAGTTATTTTTATCCTCGAGCCCCTGCACGCCATGACCGCCATTAGGGGTGGGCGGGCCAGCGAAGCCCGCGCCGGTCCCCTTGGCAACCGGCCCTACCAACTGCCACCTCCCGGAGGGGGGGGGTCCGGCTGAGAGCTCAAACCGGGCGGCTCCGTTTTCGGGGCAGCCCCGCTCCCGGTTACCGAAAGAGGGGTCGTGGCGGGTTACCTGGCTGGCGATGCTCCTCCGGAAGGCGCAGGCTGCCATGACCGGGCGGCGGGGCGGGAGGTCAGCACCGCCCCTTGCCCCCGCCCTCCCGCCGCCTTTCGGCCCGCCGCCTTTCGGCCCGCCCTGTCAGCGCCGCGCTGCCCCGCACTGCGCATGCGCCGCGGCCCCGTCCCCTCAGGGCCGCGCGGCCGTTACCTCACGGAGCCGTTAGCGGGGGGGGAGGGGGCGACATGAGCGCGGGCTCCGTCTCCAAGGTGAGGCGGCGGCGGGGGGGGGGGGGATGGCGTTTGTCGTCGTTTAAGCGTTAAATTTATGTGATTTTTTTTTTTTTTTGAAAGCTTAACGTTTGCTTCACGGCCAGGGGCGATAGCGAGGAGGCAGGGCGCTTCGCTTGAAATGTGTCAGGGCACCGCGCTGTGTGGTTGTGTCGTGGGCTGCAGCGCGCAGGGAGGTTTTTTTTACCTCAGGAAAAATCCTTCCCCCTCGTGAAATTTGCCACGGGACCCAGGCGTGTGTCTGCGTCCTTCCGTGTGGAAGTGGCCGTGCTTCCAGGGGGGCAGGGAACTGCTTCCAAACAAAGTTAAAATTGAATTCAGATCGGGTGGGTTTCCCTTTTAAAAATGTTGCTGTTAAGGATTTGGGCAGTGAAGGGTACTTCTGTTGTGTCCTGTGTCTTAAATGTAATACTTGGTCATATCACATGCTCATCTCTGCTACACTGAATGTAAAGCATTAAATAATATTTATATTTCATTAGACTTAAACATCATTTCTTCTTATATCTATGCACCGTATACAATTCTTTTCATAGAATCACAGAATGGTTTGGGTTGGAAGGGGCCTCAAAGCCCACCCAGTTCCACCCCCTGCCATGGGCAGGGACACCTCCCACCAGCCCAGCTTGCCCAAAGCCCCATCCAGCCTGGCCTTGAGCACCTCCAGGGATGGGGCATCCACAGCTTCTCTGGGCAGCCTGTGCCAGGGCCTCACCACTCCCTGAGTAATTTGGGCCAATTCCAGCTGTCCTCTCAGGAATTACTGTGCTGACTTGCTGTGTGTAATGCAGCATAAATAAGCCTGTATCAAATAGTTTTTGTAGTGGAATTGTTCCACAGCATTTAGGGTATGGACGACACAGCTGGACAACTTTTGTCCAGCTATTTTTAAATGGTTTTTAATATATTTATTAAAATGAAAAGTATCCGAGAACTTCTCTAATTCTTAAGGCAGTTTTTCAGGAAGGGGACAATATAAGTATCAGTGTTTGACTTCAGATCCTTGTTTGAATCAGAAGGGAAATAATGTGTCCGAAGATACCCAAAAAACTAGTGTCTGTAATCAAAATTGAACATCTTTCTAGAGTTTTACTTTTACTAGATCATTCTTACACTGGTGGCTGAACTGTCTCAGTTTAAGTTCAATAATCTTTGTTTATGCAAGCATCTCTGTGGGAAATACTGGATTGAATCAGTCTGTTTAAATGCCTTGAACATTTGTGTTTTTGCTTCACTCTTGCTGTGGCACAAGAACCTTACAGCAAGAGCTGGGGACAGTGTACGATTGCTGGTATAAAGGAAATCACAAAAAGAAGATGAATGTTGATTTGGGAGGATGATGGGAGAAATTTCAGGTTTTCTACAGGAAAATGAAAAAACCTCCCAGAACTCAAAGCTTAATACTTGCAGTTGATTTCATCCTTCTTGGTGATGGATCAAATCTAATTGTGAGATGACTTCTATTTGGAGGTCCTCTGGAGGCAGGGTTTTTATTTATCTGAACCTTTCCCAACCATTTGTCATTCTGCTTGTATCTATCTTTACTTTTCTGAGTTGGGATGGACTTCTTGTCCTCTGCAGTTGCAGGGTGTCATTGGCTTTTGGATCACCTCTTCTGTGCATCCCAGCCTCTTGCTTTGTTTTACTTTTAACTAAATCTGTATTGAGGAAACTATTGATGTGTCCCCAGGGAATCACTTCCTCTTAATTTTAAATCTATTGAATGAAGGTACATGAGGAGTTCAACAATTCCTCTCTCGCTGCTGTTCTAGCTGATAGATGAACTGAAGAACATAATGGAAGGGTGATAAAAGTTTCTCACAGATGTGCTGGAATACTGGTTCCGTTGCTTTTCTAGCTTGAAACAGGACAATAAAAGCACAACTAATGGTATCCTTAAGACGCTGGCAATTTGGTTAAATTGTTGATGGAACACTGCGATTAAAGAGAATAAAATGGCCTTAGGAGTCACAGTCAGACTAATGCTCATTTTGAAGTTTATATTTTTCTTGTTATTCTCCAGGGCTGCTTTGTTTTTAAACCAAGTCCCAAGAAGAGAAAGGTGTCTCAAAAAACAGGTTAGTGTATTTTGATGTATGTTGCTGTGCTTTGGGAGGGTTAATCCTGGAAGCTTCAGTTATGATTGAATTCTGTCATAGCTGTGTGAGGATTTCAGTTGCTCCTTGATGTCAGTATTTCTGAAAACTCATTTCTTCAGAAGTAGTAGGTTAGTGTAAATGTTTTTTCATCTCCAACGATTAAGAATGTATAGCTGACATTTGTCTTTGCTTTTTTTTTTTTTATTTTTTTTCCATACTGCCATAAATTGTTAACTGACAAACCATCTATCTGAAGAGTCCAAATGAGCCACTTCTAAGCTATGGGAGTCAGAAATGATATCCCATTCATAATTCTTACCCTGTGTGGGTAGTTTTTCTTCTTTTCCTCAAACAACTTTGGCAGAAGCCATTTGTGAACACCTCTTGGCTTGTGTTCACTAACTTTTGTTATATTTACGTTCTTTTCTCCAATCCAAAAGGCATGTATACAAGTCTCTGGGCATTTGAGGAAGACCAAGTGGGAGAGACTCTTATTGGAGCCATAAATAAGGCCGCTCAAATAGTTGCTGTTTGAGAGTTGGTCAGGGAACTAACTGTTCTTATTCCCAGGTTAAACTTTTTCGGCAGGGACAGAGCTGTCAAAAAGTGTGACAGTTTGAAAATATGTATTTTTTTAAAAAAGCAGAGGGGAAAGTAATAAGGCTTTGGAAATCATCATAGGCTCCTTCATTACCAGAGGGACTTAAAACAGCACCTGCTTTAAAATTAATCTCAAATTATTTTTTTTTCTGTGAGAGTTGGCACATCTGTGGCTCAGGGAATGAGTGGTAGGCAGATATAATCCAGTCTGTCATTTCAAGTCATTGCAAGATAAATAAACTAACAACCAAGACCTGTGCACTTAAACCACACTGGATTTTTACCCTGTACTGAACAGTATGTTTTTGCAGGATTTATAAATCATGGTTGGAAAAATGTGTTGCTCCACTTAGCACATACTTTGTCACAGAAAAATGAATTTGACTGGGGTATTCTGAAAAGAGAAGCAGAAGGGAGCTAGTTTGACTGCTAACAGCAGTTGATTCAAATGGTGTTCTAAATAAACATGACTTTGATGTGCATATGTTGAGTTTGGAAGGCCAAACCTGACAAATGTGAAGTTTCAGGTGTGGTTGATATACTCTTGCACCTCACAAAGGCCTTCTGTGCAAATTTGCCCATGCAGTTTGAGGTTTGGTAGTATAGAAAGAATATTATTCTTTGATTATAATAACAGTGTGGTGGCTGGATGGTCTTTAACTCAAAGCCTGTGTCATCAAAGTGTGTTATGTATTTAAGTGATTTTTCTTAGGGATACAAATGAGGTGTCTTTAGAAAAATTTAGATGTTATATTTAATGTTGCCTTGTAGCAAGCAACAGGTAACAACAGGCTGTTTGCTTCACCTTCAGCCTTTGTGTTCTTCCAGATAGTGTTAGAGAAGCTTAAAAGCTACACCAGCTGGGAGTTAGGTGTGGGTATGCTGGGAGCAGGACAGTTCCAAAGCTGTGCCATTTTATTTTATGAAATGTAGACTGTGTGAAGGTGGGAGGAAAAACAAGAAAAATATAACTCAGACTTGGTTCTGTTCAGGTTCCTATTTTACTTTCTTCACTGCTCTTCTTGTTGGGAAGCTGGTAGAGAGTTTCTGTATTTGTATCTGTGAGCTAGAGGAGCACCTGCAAAGCCAGATGCATTCAAAAATCTGCCAAGACATTGTGGTACTGAAAAGGTGATGATTTTTGAAGGATTCATGGCTTTTATGGCTCAGATTTATTTTTTTTCTCATTTTCTTCTTTGTAAGCAAGCTCATGTAGAAGTGAGAGACAGCTTAGAGATGATTCAAAAATACAGGTTTGGTTTGTGCTTAAAAGTTTTGCTGTGATAGTTATGGTAGTTAAGATTAGGTATTTAAAAAAAATAAATCTGTATTTCAAGTAACCTAACAGGCCTTTCCCAGTATACCTTTTTGTTTGTCTGTTTGGGAAGCTGGTATTGCTGCATCTTTCCAGGAAGACAGAAAGGATTTCTTATGCATGTGTTCTTGCAAGCCTTTGTGATTCATATCAGACTGTAATAGTGAAGGACCCACAAAACTTTATGAAGCAAGGGAAAAAATATATATATTAATAATATATAATATTATATATATATACACATAATGTTTTTTTTGCCCTGATTTAGCCTTTAGCTCACCTGGGACTTGAGGTAGAAGCCAGCTCTTTGACTGAAGCCTGTATAGTTGGGCAATAGATTCTGCTTATTCTGTCACTTACTTTACCAGATACCAGCAGTTAATTAACTGGCTAAGAGAAAAGTCATCTCCCTTATACCTGTATAGTTATATCTGTTGTATCTATCTATCTAGATATCTTTATAGATCTTCTTGCTTCAGTTGGGTACTTTGCTTTTTTCTCAAGAAAAAATGATTTGTTCTAATAATATTTGTGTTTCCCTTTCCTTTCTAGCTGACTACTTCAGGGAAGGAAACAGTGATGCAGAGGATAGCGAATTACGGTTTGCTACTTGTCAGTCATTATGGAAACACGTGAAATTGGAAGCAGAGGTGAGTCTCGCACCTAATACTAAAGCATTTACAACAGTGCTGCTTGCTTTGTTTTTGGAAGTCTCTTTTTACACACTTAAAAGAACAATTTGTTAAAGCAATAAAAGGGCCAGAAATGCTGACCAAGACTGAAATCCTTTTTTTAGTGTACAAAATTAAAAAAGTAAAAATAAAAAAAATCCATCAGTTACGTATTACTTCTTACCACATGCTTTTGATGCGTCAAGCTGCTTCTTCTAAGCTGTTTTAACTAATTGACCTTTTTATTAATTCCTGGCATACTTTTTTTTTCCTCTATTTCCAATTTTATTCTGTGTGTGCCAGCCCTCTGAGGACTTCAGGCTGCTTTTGACCTCAGTGTTATAGAACTTACAGCAGCCCAAGATTCACAGTGGATTTATGTGAACACAAGTGCATGGATGTCAAATAGTGAAAGATAAGGCTGCAAGCTCAGTCTGTTGAGTTAGTTCCAACAGTGTCAGTGGGTTTGTCTGGTGGGGATGGGAGTTAATTTCGTACTGAACTGTGGCCTCCTAATTGTTGTGTGGTGGATGGCATGCTGTTGTTGTGTCTGAGTAGCCAGCTGGCTTGTATTATAGCATGAATAATTGCTTCCGTACAGCAGGGATTTCCTCCTCTATTTGGTGTCAAGGATTCTGGGCAAGTATTCCGTATTCCTCTGCCTGCTATTGGGCATTAAACATTATGAGATTTTTTTTCCCCAAGTTTGTTTTGGGATATACAGTGGGAGCCAGCTGGATGGAGCTTACGATCTGGACCCTTGGGCTGAACTCGTAAATTCCTCTAATTCTGTTTCTACTGTTCCATGATCCAGCTCTCTTGGACTCGTCAGCACGCTTCTCAAACCGTAACAACCAGGGTGCGCAAAGCAGCGCGCAGCACCGCAGTGCTGATCCCAGAGAACAGAAGCTTTGGGAGGTGTATTTGGTGTCATCCTGCTAGCTGCTTCAGCCCGACAGGTTAGCCACCAGCACTGGCAGAAACTGCCTCCTCAGTTACACAGTGAGGCTAGAGGGGCAATGACATCTGTAGCCACTTCTGGAAAACCTTTTCTTGTCTTCTTAATTTGGCATGGTGTTGTCAAGGCTTTTGAAATTATGCTTCTAGATAGCCAACAGTGGCTGCAGGATTTTCAACTTGATGAAGTGTTTTTTTTCCTAGTGCTCTGCAAATATTTGTCCAAGAGCAGCCAGCACAACCCATCATGGTAAAAGCCTCCCTTAACTACTTAGAAGCACAGAATCATTGCCATCTGGAAAATCATCATTCTTTCCTGTCCTAAATATTTCGCTGTTGGTGGCTTTTTTTTTTTTTTTGAATGCTGCTAGGAGTTCACCAAATACTTTTGTCTCTTTTTTTTCTCCTCTGGGTGGAAGACAGTTCATCTCTACTTTGACAAATTGGCATCGGCCTTGCCTTAGTTTGCTTTACCCAACAACAGATTATCTGCAGTTATTTTTGATGCCATACATCAAATTTTCTTCACTAAGCTTCTGGGGTATCTGTTATGTTTTCTTACAGAATTTTGAATTTCTGTCCTTTTGTCCTGCTGTTGGAAAACTTGGAGGTGATAATTGTTTTTACTTAGATGTGACAATTCAGCTCAGAAGGGATCTTAGAAAGTTTCTAGTCCTTCAAAGTCTCTAAGTGCTTCTCAAAGCAGCATCACTTCATGAGGTCAGGCCAGGTAGGTGAGAGCTTTATCCAGTCAGGATTTTATTTTGCACTTGGAAGCCCTGGTGTAGCAAACCCAATCCATGGTAGAATACCTGAGAAGTGTATGGCTTGCTGATTTGGACTTTTATTCTAGGGCACTAAGGGTAGGATGTTCAGTGAAGTGTTTGCCAGGATACCCGACATTTTTGTGTCAAGCTATGTGCTTGTGTTGGTCTTTTTTTCAGTTCTCTGAAACCTGTCTGAGGTGTTGAATGCTGACGTGGATTTGACCTCCAAGTACTTTGTTGTGGAACACTCTCGGCCTTTGTATGTCTATCACAAACTGTGCTGCAGTGGTGGCATTTGGTGATGACGTCCTCTCAGGCTTCTCACAACATGAAAAGCTGGCAAAAGTACGGCAGGAATTATGCTCTTGTCCTTGGTTTTTGTTTTTTTTGAATGTGAATTTTTGACCTCCTTTGTTCCACTGTTGCAGGATATCCTGGGCTTGACCCCTGCTTTCAGCAGTGGTCATGCAAATATTCTTGTTATAATATATCTCATCGAGGGCTTTCAGAAACATTCCCTTTTTGTAAGGTCACTAATTTCAGGTGTTACACCAGAATCCAGGTTAGAAACACAAATCCCAAGTGCAGGGCTGTAACATGGTAATTTTAGCTCTAAGGTGCAAATAATAGTTTTCAGAGCACACGTGGCAAAACCTCGCTGGGTGTTAGTGTTGTAACAGGGAATAAATTGCCAGATCAATTTTTCAACTTTTTTCAATGTTTCCAGAGTAGTGCCATGCAAGTAAATGAGTTGGTCACTTGAGATGCAGAGCAGCCTAAAATACTTGGTGGAAAACTACCAGAATAGTGCAAATAATTAAGTTATTTTCACAAAAGACTGATGGATTTAAGAAAGCTAAGCAAGTGTGTAGTGGTACGGCAAACTGAATTCAATCTTCACGAACGCACAGTGAAAAAAATAGTAGAAAGTGGAACTATGCAATGTGAGGACTCAGAATCTTATTAGATGGGCTTAGTGAAAACTTGTACGATAATAATCAGAAGCTCAAGGCCTGATGGATTTTGAAGCAGAAGCTCTGATGATTGTTATGGGATGAATAGTAATGGAGAAGCTCTTATGATGCTGTTTCAAAGCTGATGGCATAAACTGTACTTCTTGAAATGTTACAGTTTTTTCTCAGTTGCCGTAGAATTTACCTGGTGTGAGCTCAGAGACAATCAACGTCAAAAAGACAGAAGAATAGTTTTGAATAAGTAGAGGGTGAAAAGATGAAGATTATTTTGCATGTGTTTTGTCAGTTTATCAGTCCTTTACGAAGTGTGCAGTAGGAACTCTTCTCTGTCATAGAAATGGAGCTCAGGTTTTTGAGGAGGCATCATGTGGAACATCCTGGAGATGTGTTCTTAACTCTTTTGGTAGCTGCCTCAGCAATACTGCCAGAGACAACCTTTGTAGCTCCTTTTAAAATCAAGTTCACAGTGGGGTGTGTCACTTGTTGTTCCTAAGAAATCTCAATCGTGATTTTATTGGGAATAGGGGCTTAATTTTCATCAGCCTTCTAGAGTATGTCCTGATAATTCTAAACTTCAGAGCACATTTTTGGCTCTTGTAGCAGAAGGGATATTGTGGATTAGAGACAGATTTTCAAAGGCACATACATAATAAAAGAAACACAAAATGTTTCTAGTATATATCTGCATTTAAAAGTTTTTTTTGTTTGTTTGTTTGTTTTTTTTTGTTTTTTTTTCCCACTGCCTATCTCTCACCTTGCAGTATATTCTGGTATGAAGATCATCCTGAAGGGCAAAAGACAGTGAAGCAAATGAGGCAGTTGCATGGTTTAGTATTTATTTTTTTCTGTAATGCTTGGTTTCATCATTTCTTGTTTTCTTTCAATTTGAATTAAATTTGAAGGACCTAATTGTTAGTTCTCATACGGATCTCTCAGAAGAGAATTTATGGGAGTTTTTTTTAACCTAGGAGGGAATAATAGAAGTTTTTATAAACATTTGTTATATTCATTATATTTATTCCTTCTGTGTCACTTCTGCTTTGCCTGTGTATTTTTGTCTCCTTTAAAGCCTGTGGTGTGATAACAGTTAAGCTCATTTGCTGTGCAGGTTATTGTAGAGACATTAGACCAGAAGTTCCAAGATGGGAAATGTCTGTGTTTTTCACATAGTGAATACACTGGCATGTTTTTAATTAAAAACAAACAAACAAAAAACCCACTAGTGTTACATCAGATTTTGCACTGGAGTTTTAAGGATTCAATCCAATGCAGGGAAAGGGTAGGAAAATTAAAATATACTGGTGTTTCCACATTTCTATAAATAAAAACTCTCTGCTTCTTTACAGCAAATAGAGGAAGATTTGAATCAGCAGTTATTTGATAACCTTGTAAGTTTTTTGAGGCGGTCTCATTCCGAGTTCCAGGAGAAGACAACAGAATGGAATTGTCGGATGAAGTCCAGAGAAATCCCTACTGCAGCTCTTGTCTTAGGTAACTTTTTAAAGATGCATTCTGTTATATCCATTTGTTCTCATACAGAGGCTTAAAATTGATACAGAGATCAAAGAAATTGTACTGCTGCTTTCCAGCAATTAGTGTGAGCAACATCAGCTTTCAGAAATGTTAACAGAAGAGATTGGGCTGGGAGAAGGAAGCAAGATTTGACCTGCATGCCTTTTGTCTGTGTACACAGTCACGCAGGAAGGAACACCTTCCTTTAAGGTGTGTCTTAGACAACATTCATGATCCCTCCCTCCTTCCTCCCCCGCCAATACCACGGAGATGCTTTGATTCTGTCCTCTTTTGGCACTAATTTCCTTGGTGGTTTCTGTGACTAACCATGGGATTATACAGCCTGGTTTTCTGATAACTGTTTATGAGTTGATTCTTGCAGTGCATCTTTTCATGTATTTTTCTACATGAAAAGCATTATTATCTTGGAAAAGGAGCAGAAGGTGAGAAAAATAGCTGAATGTTTTAGTACTGAAGTTAGCGGAGGTCAGAAGTTTTTTTGTTTGTTTGTTTGTTTTTTGCTTCAAATGTTTATAACTAAACCTGAACCGGGTTCAGGACAACCTGATTGTATTTTTACTGGATCATGTTAGGTAACCTAAAATTAGGCCTGTGCTTCAGAATTACCATGTGAACACTAACAGAGCCTGGAAGGTTAGTCTGCTTTTGTAGGTAGCAGAAAGTTCCTGCTTTGAATATTTCTGTGGAAGAAGCTGTGAATTGCCCTCTGGAGAGACTTCTTCTTTCTTTGTTTGACTAAGAATGTTCACAAAGGCAGTAAAAGTTGAGTAGTTCATAATAAATTCAGAATGTGTTTCATTGAAACTCAGTAATTCCTCCCCTTACATAAGCCTCGTGAGGATCCAGGTCTCAGGTGTCTGCACTGCTGCTTTTCTAGAGAAAGCAAATTTCATCTTTTTGTCTGCGGTGCTTAGATGACTGTGGATGTCTTCAGCAGTTATGAGAGGCAGGGAAGATAGAAAACCAATCCCAGTCCCTGCAGGTTTTCACCCTTGAGAAATCTTTCATAAAAAAAATAAGGCAAAGTACTACATGAGCCATCCTTAAAGTGATTCCCTGTTCCTTTTAGTTGGCCAATATGAATATGCATGTTTAATCTTGTGCTAGTTTTTCATCTTACCTCGTAGATGGTGTGATGCTTTTCATTTCTGCCTTGAATATCTTCTGTTTGTTTGTTTTTTTTTGTCTTCTGTCCATTTTATTATTCCGTCACTGTGGTCACAAGTCACAGCAAAATGCACTTAGTTTGTCTTTCTTCTAGGTGTAAATGTTACAGATCATGACTTGACTTTCAGAAGTCTTTCGGAAGTCCTTCAGAATAGAGTTACTCCTTATGTAGCCTTGCTGCAAGCCAAAGATTGCCCAGGTAAATACTGCAGTATCTTTGCTTCTTCATCTGAATAAGTTGTCAGTTAACTAGTTTTTGCCCCCAAAGGTAAGAATAATAGGATGGAGGGATATTGAATGCCTCCTAAAGATTTGTTCAATCCTACATTAACATCACAGTAATGCTTACTATGTTTTAAGAGGTGTCCAGTTCTGTTGTCTGGTTTTGTTTAAGACAGTGAAGATTGAAATAATTTGTACTATGAATATCAAGAGCGTGCTGTTTTGTGTAGTGCATGTTGATATTGAAGGTTGGCTTTCCCCTTTTTTGATCAGATCATGTATGTATGCATTTCATTTTTAATCCGCTTAATTAAACTGAAGAAATGGGTAAAAAATTGTTTCTCCCCTGCCCTTTATTTAAATATAAAAGGTTGTTTAAATAAAAAGGTTTGAATCACTCAGCACCATTCCCCAAGCTATTGATCGGCCTTCTCGTTTATTTTTAGGCCACTCTGATAGCATTTGTCTAGTTCAGGAAAGGTGCAGGGCCACCATCTTAACTTGAATTGTTGCTATCTAGGCAACTTAATAGGATACATTCTACTGCATTAACAGCATTCATGCCATGAATACTTTGAAGCATTATGTACCGTGAGATGTGTGTCCTGGAGAGAGGAGGAGAATAATAAGAAAAGTGAAAAATAATAACTTGGGGAAATTTCTTAGAGCATGAGTTGGGGAAGTGCTAAGATTCTAGGCAACTAACTGAACATCTTTATTGTCTGTTTAAAAACGTGTTGTGAAGGTATAAAAAATCTGATGCAGAAGCTCTTCGGGCAGCTGATGAACTGCTATGTAGATGTGGACTCAGAGGAAGACGACTATGTACAGACTTCCCAGAATAGAATACGTTGTTCAATGACTTCTCTAATCACCTGGTATGAAAGTGTAACAAAGGTATGATTTTGGTTTTTGTATCACCAGTTTACAAAAATGTCTGACCTTTAGATTCTTTTAAAAGGGAAATTGAATACCTCAGATTTATATGCAGTAGTGAAGGAACGCCAAAGGTTAGCTTTTCATTTAATACTAAGAAACGACCGAGACTGAGGTGATTTGAAAGTAAATCTGTAACAGATGTGGAGTTAGTTTCTGATGAGGTATGAATGTCAGCATTCTGGAAATCGGGTAAAGTACTATTTTATGATATGTTTACATGGGAACCAGAAGCTTAAAATGCAGTATCAACTTCATGCCAGATGCTATTCTCCCTGGAGCGCTGAGATGTTTTGCTTGTTAAAACAAAACTTCAAGAAAGAACAGCCATCTGGGGAGGGGGCACCATTTTAGTGCTGTATGTCATCATGTTTGTTATCATGTTATCATCATGTTATTAGCGGCAGTGTGTCATCTGCAACCCTTACTACATTGAAAAGCTGTGACAAAATAACCGTAAATGGTTTTTATCCTTTTATTTAATAAAGCTAATGATGTTTTATTCAAGTATTTTCTTCTGTCATGAATAAAAGCTAGAACTGATTTTGCGAGCAGTGTGTTAAATAAAAGTTTAATGAGTACCTGCAGTTTTTATTACAGTATAAATGTATAGAAAATGGGCAACTTCCAGGTACCCAACTAAAATCTTTATCCTCAATCCCAACACACTTTTACTGATTCTGTCCCACAGAGCTATCCTTGTCTTTGTTGAATGTGTTGTTGTTTGTTTAGTTTTTAAAAATGTATTTATTCTTTGCACTTCCTGCTATGCAATATAGAAAGAAGAACATTTGCGTTCTAGATGCTTGTAATACATACAGTTGTAGCAAAATACGTACAAAATATGAACAAAAAAAGTCAGCCACGTCACTTTGGAGCATTATAACATTGTACACATGTGACTCAATCTTTTTATTTTACTGTCTTCTGTTTATTAATGTGTAACCATTGGCTTTAAAGAAAACAGATTTTGAGACTCCAAGCAAAAAAAGAACTTCCTCCAGACACTGGAAGTCTCCTCCAGTTGTGATTATCTTCAAAGATATGGAAAGTTTCACCACAAAAGTACTTCAAGATTTCATAGTTATCAGCAGGTAATGTGACTTGAAGTTTTGTTCTTCCACTCTGTTACCCATTTTCTATTTGAAACTGTTTAGAACTGCAGGGGGGTTGGACTAGATGGTCTTTAGAGGTCCCTTCCAACCTCAGCCATTCTGTGATCTGTGATAACTGATGTAAACTGTTTAAAGGTTTCTAGCTTACAAATAGAAGTGCTAGAAATTCTCTGATTTTTATATAGTTTGTGTTGACCAGGATGTGTAATGAGTAGCTGACTACCTCTGGTGGTGCTTCTGTCCTTTCTTAATACTGTTCTCCTTAATATCATCTCCAGCATTTCAGTCAGTAACCCCTGCTACTCTCCAAAAAGAACATCTTCTGTTTAGTTACAGTAGGATCAGAGCTGCAGCTGTAGAGTTAATTCAGTTGCAGCATGCACATCTGACATCACCTCTAAAAATGGCTGAGCAGTTTCACTTGCTGTGAGGCCTGCAATAAAATTTTTTGCTACTTTAAATCTGGCAGATGGGTTCTCTGGGGAACATTTCAAGATGTAAAAACAGAAATCGTAATCATCTCAAAATAATTAGGCTGTAGGGCAGGGGAAGATGAGGTTTTAATTGTTTTTTAAGCATTGTGCTTTATTTTATTTTATTTTATTATATTTTTTTTTGTAGCAAGGATAGATACCTCATCGTGAGCATGTGGAATGCAGTATAGTCTAGTTCAGGTCTGTCACAGTCTACTATTTGAAAATAAATTTTTAAAGTAGACTGTATTTTGTTAAAGCCTCCCCCCATATTTAACTCCGTAGAAAGGACTTCTTAGGAGTTAGAGAAATTAAATAATTGTGGGATGACAACTGAAAGGTCAAGAAGTGTGGCTGTGGTAACAACAAAGAGAAAATGAATAAATCATCCATTCTAACCTAGAAGGGATTTAAGATAGTAGAATTTGTATCTGCTTGAAACTCCAATTTAAAAAAATGGAATAGAATGATGAAATAATACTGAAAATACTGTACTTCTGGTGTTCCCAGTGAATACAACATTCAGTCCCGGCCGTCAGTTCTCAAAGCATATACTAAAAACAAATTATCTGTAGAAGATGGAATCTGGAGAAGCTGATTTTTTTTTTTTTTTTTTTTTTTTTTTTTTAAGTACAACAGGAAGATAGAACTTCAGAGAGGTTTCATATTTATTTTGCTGCTACTAAGTTGTGTAAAACTTCTAAATGTTCTTGTGACTGTTAGCTGTCAAAGTCTCCTCTCGTTTTTCTTTATTTCTTTGGAAAAAAAGTCATATGCTAAGATTCAGTGCTTTGAATATAACTTTTTTGGAAGATAGGGTTAGTGCAATACTATAACTGAAAATGCTTCCTGCTGCTTCCTGAAATCTGAATCCTTAAATATAATTTAATTTGGTTTTCTGCTTTAGGGCTTTATGGGTTTAAGTAGCTTCCGTTTTTTTTTTTTTTTTTTTTTTTTTTTCCCCCCTTTACTCCTCATCAAAACTTCTGGCAACAAATCTTTTAATTGGTTCATTTCTTGCAGGTAAATCATTTGAGCTCAGTGCTGTAGTATTAATAGAATGTGTTTTACTTATGATTTTCTATAATGTAACTATTAACGTTTTTTCTCCCCTCCCCACCCCATGATCTAGTCAGCATATCCATGAATTACCTCTAGTACTGGTTTTTGGAATCGCTACATCTCCAATGATTATCCACGGCTTACTTCCTCACTCTGTTTCCTCTCTGCTGTGCATAGAGCTTTTCCAGTCCCTTTCCTGTAAGGAGCACCTGTCTACTATAATTGACAAGGTAATTCCCTTTCTAAATAGGAATGTGTGTATTCAAGGACATGTGTACATGTGTGGCCTCTACAAACAAGTTTTTTCTGAAGCTTTTGGAATGGAATCTGTTCCTGAGAGCTGTGAATTTGGGAATTTTTTACTCATAACTGCAGAGCAGCTTATTAATGCCAAGAGCTTCCTCTCTACATTAATAGACACCTGCTTTCATCTTTGATTTGCATTCACATCTGTACGTACATACTGGGACAATTACATTTCGACATCCCCACATCTTCATTAGATGAGTGCTTTGATCCAAGTTTGGCTTTGTTCAGAAAAGGATAGTCTTTAAAATAAATGAGCTCAGCTTTAATTCTGCTGCTTGCCAAAAATTAGCAGAGTTATCCAAATGGTTAATTCATACGGACACTTTGCCGTTGTGATTTTTGGTATACCACTTTGTGCAGGATTTCTGAACATGCTGAAAGCGGTGACATCCTTGGTTGTTACAGAGATCTATTTTCTATTATTTGTAACTTAAAAAATAATACGAAAACAATGTTAAGCTAAAACTAACTTCAAACATCGCTTATTAGTAAAAGGAACTTAGAAAAATGTATTGAAATAAACTGAAAGTCTTTGCACAGGTATTTGTTCTAGTAGAAATACAGTTTTTACAAGTTGGCAGTGTATTTAGTAACTCACTTAGTTGCATGCTAACATATGCTGAGAGTTGTATTAAATTGTACTTAGAAATTTTACTAAATTGAATTAAGGAAAGAATTTCTCCTATGGCTATGTTTTCATTTTTGTCTCCCTTAGGTACTTCTAACAACCCAGTTTCCACTTAAACTGAGTGAGAAAGTTCTTCAAGTTCTCATCAACATATTCTTGTACCATGATTTTTCTGTCCAGAATTTTATCAAAGGCTTTCAGGTAGGTGACGGTAACAAAATCTCAAATAATGGGTGCTGAAAATGAAGTGTTATTACTAGATATTGAAAGGTTTTTTTTTGGATCCCATTCTTGCTGTCATTGACGTGGATGAAAAAAATGCCCTTTGAAAACATCTTGGCTCTGTGAGCAGGTGGGTGTTTCTCTGCTAAAGGTTTAAAGAAAAACTTACAGAGCCAGGTATAAGGAGGCATTTAAAAACAGTTCATTAGCTTATTTTGCCACAAAAGGTGTTTTTAAAAGTTGAACTTAAAAAGGTGACCTGCCTTAATGGGTAGGAAAGGCCTCTTTATTGCTATGGGTTAAATTATGGCTTCTGACACCCCTGGCAGAACTCTCCAGTTGGTTGTGTAGCAAGTTCCTGTATTTGTTCCTCTGTACCAGGTTCTTGGGCTGTGAACAGAATTTGTCCTGATGTAGTCTACACCAGTATCTCTTCCTCGCTTCCTGCTGGAACTCTTCTGAGATAATTTCTGGATGCACACTGCTTACCTTTTCAGAGAAATAGGAGCTCTAGGGCCTCTTACTTTGTGCCTCAGAGTAGGTGGTTCTTGTGCTCCAAGCAGCTGTGCAGCAATTGAAGAGTTACATTTACCGTCTTGGAAGACAAAGTGGAAGACTTTATAAAGTTTATTAAAAATTAATAATAAAAAAAGTCCATGCAGAGTATATTTTATTGGCTTATGTTTATATCTAGATATATTTCCATGTCTGAGTCTCTATGTAGCTTTTCTGGCTTGTGGACAAGAGTTTTGTGAGGAATTTTTTAATGCAGGATTGTGAAATTGTGGTTTTGTTTTTTTTGATTGGTGCCACAAAGGAATCTGTTAGTAAAACTTGCCATTTTATAGCCCTACTCATTCAGAGTGTCTTGGGTTCCCTGATTTTTAAGATTCAGTGATTGCACATGGCTTGCAGAAATATCCCCCAGACGGACCTGTGTGGGTTTCTGTATATTTCAATTCCTCTTACTTGAAAGAGTTGCCATAATTTAATGATTCCCCACTGGCCTGATGCGAAAGTACAAGTCCTAGCCCTCACAGGGTGTGGCTGTGTCTTTGTGCTTTAAAATACTCAAGTAAAGTGCAAAAAAGCAATTTCAGGTCAGATTTCCTAAGTGATTTTTACGAGGGATGACCACCTCAGTTATGTCTAGGAGTGATGCTAACATTTCTGACAGGAAATGTCTTTCCCCTTTGATGGTTTTAATTTTAAATGGTTTTGGTGCGGTGGTTTGTTTGTCTGTTTTGCTGGGTTTTTAAGACTGGTTATGATTGAGATATGCTGCTGTTTTGCAAGGCCCTGGTACTAGGAATATTCAGCACAGATGAACTCAATGATAGAGCATATTTGTATTTGTGCATAGGAAGAACTTAGCAGTGTCTTTGTCTACATGAAACAGTAGATGAAGTGAGAATAAGCGATAAGTTTGCTTATATATTGCAGTTGCTTTTCATATCTTTAAATGTACTCTGTTATTTGTGAACATTAGAGCTGAATATGTAAGCTAAAGAATGCAGCAATTTCCATAAATGAATAGGAAATATTTGACAAGCTGTAGTTATGGTTTTGCAGGAGGGGAAACAATGAGGTACTGCACATGAATAGCACACAGAGCAAAAAGGTGGTTACATGACTGTATTTAAAGCTGAATAATCAGTGTGGTGTAGTGACGTGAGTTGCGGAATATATATGAACTGTAATGAATTTTTTTTAAAGGAATGCCATTACTACCATTATAGAATATGCACTGTAGGGATTAAGAAAGCCTTAAAAGGTAGACATAGCAGGGAGGATGAATTTTATTAACGTCACTGGTTCTTGCTTTTTTCAGCTCTGCATTGTGGAGCATTTCTATACCCAGCCTCTTAGTGTACTGTGTTGCCATCAAGAAGAATTAAAGAAGAGAATAAATTCTTTATCACATAATCAGTGTGAAAACATTCGAAGGCTGCCTTCTTTTAGAAGGTAAGAGGGGGAAATAAATTTTGGGACGCTCACATTTTAGTCAGCATTGGAAAAGGTAAAAGTTATCTATAAGCTTAACCGGTAACTGTAGGCTACTTGAGCATATGTTTGTATAACAAAGGTAAATTCTTCAAAAGGAGGACAGTTCCAAATATTTTCAGGAACCCTTTATCATCTGGTATGGAGAGTACAGCTTATGTGGTTTGCAATCTGTTGCATCATTTGGACTTTTTTTTTTCCTCTTGTACTTAATACAGAAACAGGCTATTATGACAAATAACCATAAATCACTTCGCAACTTGTTAAGCTGATACGGAGCATAATCTCTTGGGTTTAGTTATGGCTTTTCAACTTGCTGGGATCTGGCTGTCCCTTTTTGAATCTTTTCAAGTAAATCCTTATATTAGCATAAACATTTTGAAATTTTTAACCTTATGACCTTTTAAGCATAATTTACATCATATTTTTTATGCTCCTGTTTTTCCTTGCCATCCAGGTACGTGGAAAATCAAACATCAGAGAAGCAGATTGCACTGCTGACAACAGACGGTTTCTTAAAGGTAAAATGTTAAGAATGTCTTTGGAGAGCAAAAGTAACTTTCCAAATGTATTGGCTTATGTGAAAGATAATAAATTACATGGTTAAGATGTACAGATCTGTAAAACGTTTTTTGTACAGTGCATACTGTGCTTCATATCCAGTAATGGAGAATGAGAATCCACAAGTCAAAATTTGAAATCTCTAGGCTTTCTGGGTATAAAGTTATACCTTTATATCAAGCTGCACAGCTTTTCTTACGTCAGCTTTTAGCTATGTGTAGAAATAAAAGTGCTTAAAAAGAAGGCTACAAGGTTTATTTATGGCCTGGTCTTTTAATGCTTACTCAGACTGAGAGTGCAGTGGTTGAAGAATGAGTAAGTAATCGCAGAGGTTACTTCATGAGCTTTTACCCTTCCGTAGTCTCTGATTGAATTCAGTAGGGCAGACTGGGTCCCAAGGTGCACATTCACACTAGATGTTGTACAGGATTAAAACTTTGTTGCATGTTTATCTGGAGGTTTGTCAAGTGATTAAAGTCAGGCTACTACTATTGTTGCGAGCACTTTAGGAATTCATCATACAGTAAAAGCGTTTGTAATTATCATTAGCTGAACCACTCCCTGTAGATGCATTTCTCTTAACTTCACCTCAAGTACAGCTAACCTGTCAGGCAAATGGTACGACCAGAGATAAGGCTATTATTATTAGAGCAACCTGGTGTAGTGGGAGGTGTCCCTGCACATGGCAGGGGGGTTGGAACTGGATGATCTCTAAGGTCCCTTCCAACCCAAACTGTTCTGTGATTGTGTTAATGTATCCTAGCAGGTCGTCCTGGTCTGTAAGAACTTTTTCAGATGTGAAGAACGTTGTTAATGGTTGGAAGAGAGCAGACAAATTTGTGAGTGCAATGCAATTCTAGTAGTCAAGGCTAAAGATGATTTATATGGGATTTTATGATCTGCAGTCTTCAGTGTCAAAAATAGCTTAAGCTATTGCTGTTTCCATGCTGTTTATTCACACCTCAGCAGATGTGCCAGCACAACAGCTTGCATGGCTGCACCATGAATATAATCAGAGAAATAATCCAACTTAAAGTAACCTGACCAAAAAAAAAAACAAAACACCCCAAAATGTGGATTTTTTCTGCTGTTTTGTTTCTGCAGAATAATTTCCCCAGCCTGTTCCCTCTGCAGGTGCATAAATGCTTCTGCTGAAATAACAGGAACGGAAGAAGGAAGGAGTGGGAATGAGCAGCAGTGGCTGTTTCTTTAAACAAACACCATTTAATGGGCTGCTACTTTTAAATTTTAATACCCATCAGTATGTTCAAAAAGTATAATGTATCCCTTATTTTGTAAGTCCATTCCCACCATGGAAGTTTGGGAAAAAACAGTTGGAATTCTTGTGTTTATGTGCACATGATGCTCCCAACCAATTGTACCTTAAGGCACTAGTTCTAGTCTCTGCTATAGCAGTAGAACTGTTACTGCATTGCCAAGCTGATAGTGTTACCTGCTTATAAATTTAATTGTACTTCTTATAAATTTACCGTTCACGTTCAGGACTAGGTAAACTTGCTCTTCAGGCTTAGCAACCAAACAGCTGCATTTCCTTTCCATGTTGTTACCACTTTTTTTTTTTTTTTTTTTTTTGTAATTTAGGGAGGAGTTCAACATATTTAAAACAATCTGGGTTTAAATGCATTTTCTCTCGGCAGTTTTACATCCTAATTAATTACAATGTTGTCTGAAAGTTTTCATGGCAAATTTCATTTAAAATTATGTAAATATGTCGATCTATATGGAAAGTATGTTGTGTGGCCTTCTGATAATGTTTTCAACCTCTTCTAGAACAGAAATAAGGAGGGAAACAGACTATGTCTTTCCACTCTGTTATTTGGCAAAATATGTAGTCTTACTGTGTTTTAATTTATGTAACCTCATCAGTTTTGACCTGAGAAACCAGATGAGGGAAGTATAGATGCTATAATGCTCGCAGTTTGAGGGAATAAGATTGATTTAGCAGCATAAAACAGAACTCGTTACCTTCTCTCAGCTTTCTTATGGTGAAGATTTTTTTTCTTTTAATGATCCTGCTTAGAATCTAACTATAAACTTACAAATGTCTGTCTTAGGGACTTGGAAGACGTTTAAATAATTGTTAAACCAATGACCCTTAAATGTTAATAGATAAAAAGTCTACGGGAACATCTTCACGCTTTTTATCATCTCAAACCTTTTTTAACATTGGAAAGCTCTCTGCAGCACCAAGTACATGTATCACAGAGCAGGCTGAAAGTAACACAGATACTTACATCTTTCCACTTCAGTCTTCCTTGTATTGCCAGGAGCACATACCCTTTTTGTTTGGTTGGTTTGTTGTTATTGTTGTGGTTTTTTGTTTTAGGTATTTTCAGTTTAACTTTAGTGGATTTCAGTGGCTTGGGTGTGTGTTTTTTTCTTTGTTTTGTTGTTCTGTGTTTTTTTTTCCTCTCCATTTGGAATAACATGTTCTGAGTTGATGGAAATGGTACTAAAAATGTAGACAGCCCTGTTTTTCTCTTTTGATCTTTGAAGTCAGATGAGAGAAGATTTTTTTGATTCATGAACTTAAACGTAATGAGCCTAAAATACTTAAATGCAGCTACCAGAAATTGCTACTAGGATTTTCCAGAAGTCTTGCATATCCTTCCAAGGGAAGTCAGTGATAATGAGGTGCGATCTGGTAAATTCGATAGCAGCAGTTCATAATTTCTTTTTCCTAATACATGATTTATTTTTTTTTTTCTGAAGATCTCAATCTATGAATAAGCAAGCCAACTTAAGAGCACATAGAAGCAGCAACTCTACAATGTTTTCCTATGAAATTTTCTTTTTATGTATACCTCACTAGTAAAAACAGGAAGCACTCATAATGTAACAAATATATTTTTAAATGTATTTGTAATATAAAAATGCAAATAGCAAGGATTTGAATAAATTTAGCTATATAATTTCTCAGTGCATATTAAAAGTGTAGTCCTGTTTGTTGTGAGATGACACGCCAAACAACAGCTAAATATAGTTGCAAATGATAAGATAATAATGCTAATCAATAACAACTCTTCAGTGAGATGGAAGAGGAAGGTAAAGTTTAAAATATGCAGCGTGATTGCAGCGAACTGTTGAAATAGAACTTTTCTACATGGTGGTCGTAATTTCACACTGGGGATTTAAGTCACAGCACATCAGAATGTCAAAACCCAAGAGTCATTTTAAGTACTTCGTGAGAGTTTTAAACAAATGATTGTCAGAATGACTTACAAAGCAATTATTCTGTCACTGTAGGAAACAGTACAGAAGTTGCTGGAGGACCTGAATGTTTATCATGAAAATTATTTTCCAGTTCTGAGATGTCTTCATGTTTTCACGTCTTCACTTCCAAAGTATCCTTTGGGCAAGCAGGTGAGGTAGTGTTACTCCATTTTAGTGAAGCATGTTTTGTTGTTTCATGGTATGGCATCTGAACAAGTATCTACTCTTTCTCTATATGTTCTCTTCTACTGGTTTGCCCTCTGCTTCCCAAATGGAGACAGATTCTTTCTTATTATGGGCAGAGAGGAACAGCACGTCTTATTTTTAGTGGTGGGGATGGTACTTCATCAGTCAGCAGGAAGGAGTTTGTAGGAGGAGGCAGATGGACAGATCAGCAAGAGAATTGGCAGGTTGACTTTCCCGCATCTGGAACCCTCTGTATGTGTTGCAGACAATGTGTACTCTTCTACCACCTAAAAGAGTCAAATTCAGAGGATGAGACTGAGTTTTAACAACCTGTACAAAAAATGATAGCAAGTGAACAGCGATAATGGCTCTTAATAGCCATATTGCTCTAATGTCATTAAATCTACCTTCTCATGCGAAGCAATTTCTTCCACTAAAAAAAAAAAATTATTCTGTGCACGTGTATTTGTCTGTTAGTTCTCAATCTATTACACACTGTTATTAGAGTCTGGCCCTAACTACAACATTGGATTGAACTGTCCCCGTATTTGAGATTTAAGAGATGTTTTAGCCAGGGCATTTGATTCAAGTTCCTCTCTGGTCTCTGCAGTTACCTGGTACAGAGTGATTTATATATATAGACTCTGGCAAGTTAGTTGTGTAAGGTACTAAATAATTTCAATTTCTGCTGTGGTCATTCTGCATCTCTGGGGAAACAAGCTCCAAAGGAGTTTTTACATGTTACTTTGAAAAGATTGTTGTAGGAGTTCCCCACTGCTTTGCTTGTTTAAAAAAAAAAAAACACGTTATTCTTTCTTTACCTTCCGCATAACAGATCAGGGAGCTGCACTGTGCATGTTTGGAAAACCGTGTGTGGGAGACAGAGGAGTATGAGTCATTTCTTCAACTAGCAAGGTGACTTTTTCCTTTCCATTTTGTTTTAATACCACTGTACACGTATAGAATATCAGTCATCTGTTATCCGAGAACTTGAAGCTGAGGATGCTACCTGTTTGGAAGCTTTGCAGCTAGTTGTGGGGTTGTTTGCAAGTATAATGGCTTTTTTCATTTTCTGTTCCTACTGTTTTCTGTGAAACCCAGCCAGATTCTAAAATCTCTTATGCCCTGTGTAATTGTGCCAAAGGCATCAAGGTGCCTTTGTGTGAATGAGAACATCGGTTGGACTTTGTCTTTTAAAGTATGATTGTGTTAGAAATTCTTGCAATACATTATTGTGCTGTGTTTTTGAAGGCCTTCTTATTAACAGTTGACCAACAAAGTTGTTTTAGCTTGCCTAAATTGTGACCCATTCTTAAAAATGAGAATCTGTTCCAAATGAGTAGTTGAGGCCTTTCTTATTTACTGCTTTTTTCCTTTTCATAAGCATGTCTACCAGTTTGTACAGGGATTGTGCTAATTTTTTGTGCTGTTGTGAGCTTAGGATTTTAGGAGAGCCTATGTTTGCATTGTCCATCAGTGTTTAAAATAGAAAAGTCACCTAAGGCAATTTTCGTAATAGAAAACCTTCCAGTTGCAGTGTTGAAGTTTCTGACTTCTGAACATGCTTTATCATGGCAAATGACTGTTTCCTGATGGCTGCATTCATTCAAATAATGCATTGTTTCTGTCACACAAGGAGCTGATACAACACTTGTTACCATAACTGCCTCTGCAACAGCCTCTGGCCTTGTGAGGTTTGATGTCTGACAGGAAAACTGCTTAGAAAAACCGTGTCGGTGTTGGGTGGAGGATCGCTGTCTGAGCTCATACTCATAAGAAGCATTCCATCCATCCTGTACCTTCGCCATACTGAGTTTCTCTCCCACACCATCACTTTGCTCTATTTTTACCCTCATTGCTCTGAAAGGATTACTTGCTTCAGTTGCCATCTCTGCAGTCATTCCTTCTTAATTCTTTTCTGACTCTCTTGAATCTTGACAGGGCTCAATCACTTACCAGCCCATGTCTACAAATGTGTCACTGCTTTTCTGTACTGTCTGTTCGGTAATCTCTAGTAACTCGTGGTCATTTTTGCCTCTCCCTTTTTTCCTCCTATGTTTCATTTGTTTTCCTCCACTCTGAATTCCCCTGCCTCTTAGTTGATACTACCATCAGATTCTGGCTTGCTCCCTCTTTGTTCTTACCACTTTATCTCTCTCCTGCTTTTTCTCTCATCCTGGTACCCACTGTATGGAGGTTCTGATAGAAATACCACTGCTCAGGGTAGAATAGATAATACCAGGTAGAAAATAAAAGGTAGAATAGAAATAGCAGTGATCAGGGTTATTGCTTTCATAAATTATTATTTATTTTTTTTTCTAATTCAGGAATTCTGTTATTTTCTTAACTCCTTCAACATAATTCCTTAAAATACTTAGAATTCTAGCTGTGACTGTGTTTCTTTCAGTTTTTTTCTTTAACTGCCTTCTCTGTTTTACACTTATTTTCTCATCTCTGATTTTTTTTGCATCGTATTGTGCTGCTGTCTCTTAGAAGAAAACGATAAAATGTGATCTTTGTACTTCTACTCACAATCTCCTCCTCACCTTCCTATGCTTGCCTATGGAAGCTATTGACTGTTCCTTAATATCTCTGCTTTCCCAGGGGCCCTGCCACCTATTGATATTCCATATGTTCACCCTTCCATTATTCTTTTTGATATTTTCCGGAGCGCATCTCTTTTCATTTAGGAAGTAAAAATTGAGAACATTTTGATCAGCTTATTTCTCAATTTGCAACATCATCTCACTTCTCTTCATAAATTATGTTTGAATGAAGGGCTTTCAGTTACCCTTAGTTCCTTTTTCTTGCTTTTGGTTAGTTGGTTTTCTCTATTTCAGCCCTTTCTTAGACTGCTTTTATCCCTTCAATTCAGCCAGAAGTGCTGTCCTCAAAACTATTTTTTCAGGTGATCTAACTTCAGCAATCTGACTCTACGTTAAGCCAGTTTTCTAGAGCCCTGAAAATATCACAGGGAGAGGGAGAGTGCGTGAGGTATAGCAGGTAATCAGTCCAATCAGAAGAAAGATAATTAAGAGATGTTGGTGTGTCTCACTTCATTAATTTCTAGGGGTCTAACTGGTTTGGACATCTGTCCAAGATTTTAAGTGACAAAACTTTTGAGGATGATCTAACCTATCTTCTGTCTTGATACTGTACTCCTGCCTTCTAATCGTTGATGTCATTGGGCACGTACTGCTGCTTGTCACGGTTCTGCCCTTCCATGTCATTTTGCTGTTCACTTGTTATCCCTTCTTCAGATGATCCTTGCTTCAGCATTCTGAGGGAGTTTCTATGGACTTTGTCCTGGCTTCCTTTCTTCTCTTTCATAACTCATCTCTGAGTAATAAGAGACATTTACTGGATGTCTCTTTATGATCTTCCTTGCTTAATAGCTTTCTCTGATACCTGGAATACCTTGCAGTAAACTTAGGCACAAAAAAAAAGCTGAAAGGGAGCCTTTTCTGTTTCTCAATATATAAAAAAACATCCTTTTGCCAGTTGTTTGGGCCTCATAGCCCAGGTAAGTTCTTCTCTAGGCTCTTGTATCCAAGACAAGACTCTTCTAGAATTTGCAGGTTCTTTCTGAATAATATTACTAAGATAAATAATGGAAAATGTTACTAAAATAAATGACCACTCTTCTGTGTTCAAGGTCACCTTTTCATTTTGTTAGCTCTTGCTCCTTTTCTGTACAAAATTAATGTATCTGAAATAAACTATTGATTTGTGAAAATCCATAACCATAAATCAGATAAAAATCAACTGCCAATCAAAAGCTGCAGCCTGAATTGCAGTTGTCCTTCCAGACATTGACAAAGCCACCTTAGGCTCTCATTCATGCATCCTCGAAACTCTGAGACAACGTTTAGGTAGCTGACATGAGACCTACTCCCATCATTTCATTGCTTTGTTATGGTCCCTTCTTTGTGTATCCATGTTTTTGCAGTCTTCTGCAATCCTTAAACTGTTAGCATCTTTGTTTTGTGCTTCTTAAAGACAAAGCAAAAGCACAAGAGTAAGCTGAGTAGGGCTGTGAGTAACCGCAGCTGTTAGGAATGTGAGATAGTTCAGAACCACTGGGTGTGTTGATTGGAATCTCTTGCACTGCATGAAAAAGCGATGGGAGTGCATGTGAAAAGATACTGGCTTGGGGCCGTGACTGATTCTGCAGTTCACTTAAGAACTTGCTTTGATAACTTGTGAATGAAACTGAGCATTGAAATGGTGACATTTATAAAATGCCCTAATAAATAAATAAAGCTAAGTAAAGGCTAAGCTGAAGGTTGGACTAGATGATCTCAAGAGGTCCCTTCCAACCTAAGTGAATCTGTGATTTTAGGAGTGGCTAGATTCATACCAATTAAATGGAGAAGGCAGTAATTTAAATTTAGTTTGAGAACTCATTCTGACATCTGTCTAAGTTGAATTGTTGTGGGTTTGTTTGTTTGTTTCTCTTAATGACATCAAGAAAAATTACAGCAAGACTGAATGCTTGAAATTTTGGAGGCTTTCTCTTTTAAAAGGATTTTTTTTTTCAAGTTAACATTTTTTTTCCAGCTAAGGACATTGAAAGATGCTTCATCGTTCTATGTCAACAATTGTGTCTTTTAGGATGTTGAATAAGTGTGATTTGGTAACCATGCTTCAAAAATGTGTGGAAATTCTTGTGTCATCTCCTGGAAAGGAGTTTGATAAGACAGTAGAGAAGTTGAAGGAGTTCTTGACCCAGTTTCAGAAACTAGAAGGTGGGTGTGCATTATCATACGTTCCTTTGCAGATTAAATTGAAGCTGATCTATAATGGGACAAATGGGTATCATTTTCTGTGGTATATCCTCGTACTGTACCAAGTTGTCAAACATTTCAGGGTTGTTTTTAAATACACAGGCACAAATATGCCACTTCTGTTTTATTGGTTTGTGGTTCCTGCTTTTCTAATACAGAAGAGTGATGTAAGATAAGAAATTGGACAGATCAGCAAACATTACTCACTAAATCTGTCATATGTGTATTCTGAGCATTTTACCAGATGTTGCAATCATTAAAAACATTTAACAAGTAAAAACAGATTTTGAAAGATAAGTAGAAGCAGGCTTGCTTATGGAAAGTATTTAATCCAGATTTAGATATTTCTATATTTTGTATAGATGTTATTTTACCCGCGCCCTCAGTTAGATTCGTATGAAAGCAAGGACACCCACTGTCAGTTGTCCTGGCTCTGCTGACGTGCTGTAACCTGTCGAGCCCCTGTATGTGGTTATTCACGGTACGAGGACATATCAGGGCTGTGGTATGGCAATGTGGTCATCCTTTTGAAGAGGCTGTTTTTGTCACTGAAGGTGCTGGCACTGAAGAATCTGAACTGCATTGGAAATCAGGAAGGTTCATCTAATTTAGAAAAGAAACACTTTAAAATGCAGAAGTATTGGATAAAAGAAGTATTGGATAAAATACTAGGACTCCTACCTTGAAGGAATAAATAAAATCAAATCAAAATGGAAAAAAAAATAATCAAGGAATTCAGAGATGTGCAGAACTCTAAAACAAAAAGAAGGGCAGTATTGATTTCAAATATTGATTTGAAGAAGTTTTTAAAACAGAGCTTAATGAGTACAAGAATGATCTTCGTTTTCAAAAAGGATTTAAGGTACTATCAAAAAGCAAGAGTGGGGCAATTAAAATAAGCCTGAAATGAATAGATTGCCGAGTTAGGTGACTTCTTCCTGTATGTTTCTGGTTGTGTTGATCTTTAGCAGAAGTTTTCAGAAGTCTGCCAACAATACTAGGTACCCAAATCTCCCTTCTGGTGAATGGATAGTCTAAAATACTTTGTTAGTGGTGGTGTGTTTTCTAAAAACAGTCCATCTTCTCAAGACTTCCTGATGAATTGGAAAATAGCAAAACATGAGGCTTGAGGAAAGAAAATATATTCAGTCTATTTTGAGCAGAAGGATTTGATTTTTAAAATACCTCAAGTTAACTATAGCAGTGAAGAGAGGAAGTTCTCTGTTTTGAAATCTTTAACTAAATGCAAATAGTAGATAAAATTCCAGTGATCTAGATAGTAAGTCTCTGCTGCTCATTCACCTGGAGGTCTTTTAAAAGCCTTTCTGTTTTGGTGTTGCTCTGATAGCATCAGTTTGTTTGTTTTTTTTGGTTTTTTTTTGCTTTATTTTTTCAGAAGAAGAAAGAGTGAATTGGCAAATGTATTAGTGAATGTGTTAGGAAAAGATCTTCCAGGACTTGTGCAGTGAGTGCTTGTATATGGGTGCTCTTGACGTTGAGTGTGTGAGAAAAAGATGAGGTTGTTTTTAAACGTACATTTTAATGATCACTTCAGTTCCTAGTACTGTTTCAGAGCTTTTAGGGAAGAGTTACTTGATACCGTGGGCATGAGCATTTTCATAACTTTCAATAAAAATTGAAGTTACTAGTTCTAGCTAGTCAGCTTTCTTTGTCCAGAACTGGAGAAATGGATCAGCCCTGCAAGATACTGATCAAATCAAGATTCTGTAACACTGAAACTTGGCATCAGTCTGCAGTCCTGCCCTATTCACTGATGTGTTTTGAAACACCAACTACAAAAGATAATTTTGTTGCCGTTTTCTGTTAGATCTTTTCGGTTCCTACTAAGGGAATTACAGTGATGATTTTTAATGATGTTGACACCTCTTCAGAGAGCAGTAAAATATCAGCTCATTCTATGTAGGTCACCAGAAAGCTTTTATGGATCATGATTGTTACTGCTGGTCGGAGCTTTACCTGTGATCTGTAGGTGAAATCTCCCTTTTGTTCTAGTAGCAGAAGCTTGCCAGGAACAAGATGAGTCCGTATCGTCACAAAAGGAGCTCCAGAAGAAGACAGACCTTTATCATCTTCAGAAGGTCAGGCCTACATAGGCTTTACTGACTAGTTCCTTCACTGCATCTTTAAGGTGTATTTGTCCATGGTTAGCTCTTCCCTGCCAGCTGGAGCTCTGCCTAACAGTTATGGATAATAACTTTGCTTAAAAATGAACGAATAGTAACAATCATGTCTGTCAGACCTACCTGATGAATAGAAAATAATAGCAAATATCTGTCATAAACTAGGATTTTAAAGTGCAAATTAGTTCATATTTTTGGGTTAAACTTGTAAATTACACCCTGCCTAACCCACATTTCTTCAAGCTTGAAGATTTAACCTAACTCCTACAAGTATGAGAACTGAATACACTGGCTTCAATAAAAATAGCTGCATGATCACAGTTGGGATCATCATTAGTGAAGACATGCCAGCAAAAAATAATTCTACATGTTCAACATATACGTTGTGTTCTCTAGAGAATAATTACTTCCCAGGTAGTTTTATGCACCACTTTTTTTTTTTTTTTTTTTTTTAAGACTTTGTTGGAGTTGAAGGAATCAAGGCGGTCTAAGAAACTGACAAAGTTTGAAATGCTTCGTTTTGAAGTTGTTGACTATATAGACAGCGTTGTAAGGTGAGCTTCTCTATTTTATATTCTTGCATTAGTTTGCATCGTAAGTTAAAACAAAGTTTGCTAACAAGTTAACATGGGAATAATCTTGTCAAAATTATGTCTTAGTCCCTGTGGTATGAAGCATGCTGTTTCTTTTCCCCCTTATTATTCTTCCTTTGACCACTCTAGAAAAAAAAATAATACAACCTGTTTTCCATAGGTTAGAAGTAATTGGCACAAAAACTGACAAACTTATTTTGTCTGCAGAGTGAAGTTGAGGGGAGGGCTGGGTGTACGTTATGAAATAAAGTCAAGGGTTTTTACTCTAATCTTTGCTGGTCTGTTCTATTTATGAAACTCTAGATGCCAAGTGTGATATCCTAGCCATTTTTGGCAAGTAAGGCATAGCAAATAAGGTATTGGAGGCAGCTTTGTGGATGAAAATTTGCAAGGCTTGGGGTGTGTGGGGTAAGAGATGAAGGCACTTGTTAACTGTGCAGCCTTAGTGAAGGGAGGTGGCAGGTTGAAAGCCTGTGTTGGCATGGGTGGGGGAAGAGAAGCTAACAGAAGTGCCAAAAAAAAGCTTCAAATATGAAGATAGAGATGGCCTCAAGATGGATCAGTAGGATTTGTGGAGTAGAGTACCTAGCTGGTGTTAGCATTTATGCCCTTATTTTTTAGTTTGTCTGGCCCAGCTAGAATTCCAAGTTAAATCCCTCAGATGCAGAGTTGCTAACTATTGACTTCCCTGCTTAAAAATTGATTCCGGTCCTGTTCATCTTTTTGGGGGGGGGGGGGGATTTGTCAGTACTGGTTGAAATACATTATCGTACTCTCTGACTGCAGTAAAGTTCTGTTGTTTTCCCTTAAGGTAAAGCTTGTATCTCCCTTCCTCGCCCCGTACCTCATGTTGCTTTTTCAGAAATTACCTTGTTCCTGCAGACCACAAGACGCTGCATGAGATAGTGTATTTCAACACAGCCAGCATTCTTCGCGAGCACTTGAACGCTGCCCCCAGGGTTGCACTTCACACGGCTCTGAATAACCCATACTCCTACCTGAAGGTAAGAAACCAGTGAGCTGTTTGCAGAGCTGGAGTAGTTTCAGAAGGCTGCACACGAGGATGATGTTCAAGTCTTAGTTTTGCTGTTTCATGAAGCTTGGCACGTGCTCAGATGTTTTGCAGAGAACCAGCACGGCAGTGTTGATAAGCAACTGGGGACTTCGCTAAGAGCTAGGGAATCTGGCTGGCTGAAATAAAGAGGCTGATTATGGAAAGAGTTTTATATGGGAAAGCTGTTTTCCAGAGCCTGTTCTAGTTGTGATCTTCTATGGATGTAGCAGAAAAGTCATTTTGTCCTCCATTATGAATGGGAGGACTGTGTCCAGGGGAAAAAAATTGTGTCAGGCTTTTTCCAGAGACTTTCTTTGCAGTGCTGGTGCTGAGGCCTCACTGTGTAGGCTTGCTGTGAGGTGAAGGCATAGTGAGGAAATTTACAATAGCTTAAATACAAGCATATTTAAAGGAGTCCTTTTCTTTTTACATTAATTTCAATATCTGTTGTGTATTGACATCCTGTCTTTCCTGAGCCCAAGAAAAGGATTGTCATTGATCCTGTTAGCGAGCCTGACCTTTTTCTAGAGAAGAAAAACAGCCTCTTCCCCAGTTCATTCATGTATCAAATTCCTGGGATGACCCGTGAAAGGGAAGAAAGGAGAAGCACACAATTTGGAGCAGGAGTGAACATACATTTCTCTGGTTTATCCTTCATTATAGCATATAGAATATAGATTGTAGCGTATAGAATATATATGCTACTTGGAGTTATCCTTGTGCCTTGATATTTCTCTTAAAAAGTATGATTTCAGTTTTGAAGAAGACATTGGTTGTAGCTGTATCTGTGTGTTTATGTGGTACTTGAACCAGAGCCAACACTTAATTACCAGAAACCAAGCTTAATAAAGATCGGTCTTTGAAATCCACAGCCCAGTTTGTGTTGGGTTTGTTGGCACCGTGCCTCTGTTTGAATGAGGGTTTTGCTGTGTGCAGGACTTTGTCTAAAATTGCTTGGTCTGATTTGTGAAAATGGCAGTTAGCAAGTGGGCTACCACTGAGGAAACCTAATGTGAACATCACTAATTTATGCTATAGAAAAAAAATGTAAAGATCAGGAAAGTTAGCAAAATCTAGCTGCTAACAGTGTTGAATGAATATTCTCTTTGATGAGCTGACAGGACTTAAAGTCCTCTGCCATCCTGCACTTTGTTCTGTGACGTACTTCAACATGTTTTTGATGTTTGAGTAAATTGTGAAGGTTTTGACATAGTTTCTAGTAGCAGCAGTATTGGCTGAGTACCTTGCTTAGCATTTTAACCCATGTGAGTCAAATCTTTTTCTTGCTTGTACCTGTGACTTCTGTATGGCTTGTATTTTCCTGGGATGTGACCAGAGCAAGGTTTTTTAGAGCTGTTCCTACCACAGGACTAGGACAGAAGAGGATCTGCTTCAGTGCCGTACTAGCAAATGATTAATAATGTGATGCATTTCTTACAAGACTAGTCTGGTTATTTATTTAGCTAAATCCAAACCGAAGAGCATACTTATCCTGAAAAAACAATGCACACACAAAAAAGAACAATTCTGTTTTCATTGGTCTCAGGAAAACACAGCAAGTTGTAACCTGGAATATCAGCAAGTCACTGCTTAGGGTTGTATCAGCTCAAGGAAATGTCATTTTTGGATCTTCCCGGGGTTTAGATGGTCATGCAAATTTTGTTCTTGACCGTGGGGTAACACTGATCTCAAGGAGTGAGCCCTGCTGCATCCTGCCTCTCAGTCTAGTTTCCTTCCAGGGACGACTGAGGTTGCTCTGGTGCTTGCTGGATGCTCTCCAAAGCCAATTCAGGTTGTGAACGGACAAGCTTTAGGCTGGCATTAAAAACAAAATCTGAAGGATTAGGTTTCAATGCTAAGTGTCCAGCAGCACCAGAGTTAGCACCAAGGTGAGTGGTTGGGAGCCGTGGAGTTAGGAGAGGTAGCCGAGAGGAAAGAAGTGTGGGGCAACCCCCATGGGTAGTGGTGAGCCACTAGATCACCCAGAAGGTAGTAACTTCGCCCCTGTTAGTTGGTAGCACAGTAACGGGGTTGGACTTGATCATCTGAGAGGTCTTTTTTTTATTGAATATGAGCCTCACAAATTGCAGGAACTGATATAGATAAAACGTAAGCTAAAGATTCCTGAGCAAAGCTGTGGGTTTTGCCCAACCTTCTTTCCTATCTTGAAAAGCTTTTATTTATGAAGGTAGGACTAGGCGCTAGGGCTTTATAGACTTCTCAAGTCTGGCATGTTTGCTGGTGTATTTTTACTGACATATAAGAGCATTTTAGCAAAAATTTCTAGGAACTGAAAGGAATGATCCAAAGTTGTTTTATTAGAGGAGCTGGCTTCTTAAGAGTATGTGAGACTGAAAACTGAATAAAATTATGAACTGAGGTGAAATGTCATAAATTTCTGCAGCCATGCGGAGACTTTCTTCTAGCTCCAGTGGTTTTTGGTTTTTGGTTTACTTACACAGTAAATGGTTTGGTGCTGATGACCTGGATTTCCTGACACAGTACAGTTTATGAGAAATCAGACTTCTGCCTTTGTAGGTGTTGAGTTTCAAGCCAGAGCAATGATTGTTGCATTTCAAAGATAAAACTCTGAGATGAATGAAACAATTCTGGTTTTTAGCCCATGTGACAGATTTTTGCTAAGACTTTCCTTTCTGAGGGGGGATGAGGGCCTTACATAGTAAGGCCTCAGATTAATCATGAGAGGTTTCTTTTCCTGAATCCACAGAACAGAATATTTCTCTCTAGAGAAACAGGAAAAAGCCCAAGCAGAGAATCATTTGAATAAGTAGAAAAGATGGTAGAAGGACCACAAGGAGCAAAGTACCTAGGAGAGCTGGTTTTTTTTTTCATAGTGTTTCTTTTTTTGTTGTTGTTGTTCTGTTTATTTCTTTGCGCCACCAACTTAGCACTAAACACACGAACAGTGAACATTTGGTTAAAATACTTACTGTGTGAATTTCCTGGTGCAATGTTTTATCTAGCCTCATAGATTGTTGAGGATTAAGAACTGACTGGGGTTACTGCCTTTGTCTTTCATCAGAGCCAAGCTTTGAGAAGCGATGGAGGAAGCATTTCTAATAAAGCCCCTGACATATGCATAGTCTACAAGCTCCATTTGGAATGCGGCAGATTAATCAATCTTGTTGATTGGCTAGAGGTATGTAAGGATGCAAGCAGTGCCTCCAGCTGCTTGCAGTATTTTCCTCATTTACCTCTTTGCTGTGTGCCTGCTTTTCTGGTGTGCCCCTCAACAACCAACTCGTTGCCGGCCCCAGTCCCTCCTGCACAAGAACACGGCGTCTCCAGAGCCCCAGCCCACAGAGTCCTCCCTCCCGCCTGCTGTGAATCATTTATTTCCAGCATTGTTACTCCGTGATGAAATTCTTCTGTTTCACACTTGCAGATCAGACGTTACGCTTCGCAAAGCTACCTTGTTCCCCCTTTAAATATTTTATGATACTTTCAGGGAGGCAGGGAAGCGCTACCACTGAAGTGTGGGGCTTTGGGGCAGAATGCCTTATGCTAGGGAAGAGCAAAGTGTCAAGCCTGATACCCTGTCTCATACCATGGCCAAAGGGCAGTATAAGAAGAGAATGTGCATCAAGATGATACATTCTCTGAGTACTTCCCAACAGCCATGTTTTAGTTCCACTATTTCCTAATCTGGAATGTTTTCTCTGTATTTTATTAAGTCTAACTGGATTACTTGAGCAGTGCAAGTTTTCAGGAACCACAGCAGCTTGTGGGAAAGAATTGTTCAGCTTCACTACATGCCGTGCACAGAACACCCCTCTTCTCTGAATGTGCTTCATTTGCTGCTGCCTTGCTTGTGTAGTGGAAGAGAAAGTGCACCTCAGATCCCTATCCAGCCTCCTGATGTCACTCAGTTTTATAGATCTCTCTGCAGCCAGCTTCATTTTTCCAGATGGTTTACAGAGTCTCACTTTCTGAATTTTTTTTCTGAGAATGGGTCAGGAACCAGAAGTGTATTTAGAATGTAAAATGTAGTTGTGAGTTCAGGGAGTCACCTTCTTTCATTCTGTGTGCCTTCCCTGGTAATGTGTAACCTTGCTTGCTCTCTGGATTGCTGTGGAACTGACATTGCCAGAGTTACCGTTTCGAGATCTCATTCCCCCTGAGTGACAGTGATTAGCTCAGAGCTCGTTATTTTACATGCAGCTCTGCCTGTTCATGAAACGTGTTAAATCTGTGCTGCTTTTCCCTTTCTAGGCTTTCTCAACTGTGGTGACGGCAGTTGAGGGACCAAATGCAGATGCACCTTCCTCAGACGAGGTGGATGATGTTATCCAGTATCCTTTCTCACTTCGGTCTTAAATTTATTTGACGTTCAAATGCTTATGGGATTAGTGAACCAGGATTCTTAAAACACAGCTTTTTGTGCGCTGATGTCTTATTTTTCCTGGATTAGTTAAGTGGCTCAAGCAGTCTTTATGTGCAGAGTCACAGAAACGGATCATGTGAAATAGTTGGGCTGGGAGTGGTGAGGTAAGGGAGCAGCTTTTGTCCAGAGGAGCGTTTTGGATCTGAAATAGAAGCAACAGAGCTTGAAACAAGATGAAGCAGCTGTTCTGAGTTAAATCATCTGAGAGTTGGTACATCTGCTTATGCAGAGGAGAGAGCGTTACTGAGGAAGAGGCAGGACAGTTGTGACCTAGAGAGGAGATGGAAAGAGTTGGTAGTTTACTCTTATGGGGACAATTAAAGCATTAGCAGAGGAAATGCTTATGAAGCAGTCTCTGCAGAAACCATGAGCTCTGCTACCTCAGAGCTGAGGCTCCTGGCTTGCACAAAACATCCATCCTGCTTCTCACTCCGTCCTAATTCCCACTTCAGAGGATCTGAAGGACGGGCACTGGAACCACAACTCATGGCTACAGCAGTAGTGCTGCCGCAGGGATGAACAGCTGTATGAGGATGAGTTTGTGTATGTGGTGATGCTGTGCCACTGCACCTCTGCTGTTCTATGAAATCCCCCAAAAATCTCTGTGGAAGTATCTTGCTCCCCATTTTCTTGTTAATGGACATCAGTGGAAATTCTTCAGAGAGACATAAAATTAGTATTTTCATAGGTTTAAAGCTTCTTTTCAAGTGAAAAGGAATGTTCCTTTGTTGCCACATTGTTTTCAGGTAGCAAAAAGGAACACTGTCTAGATTATTTGTGCTTCTGGAGGCCAGGCATGCTCTTTCTAACAATTTTAGTGTGCAACACGTTTTGTGTAATCAATGCTTACCATAACTTAACAATCTTCCCCTCTGGGAGATGATGGTGTCCCTGTTGGTTATCGTCATTGAAAGTGTCTTCAGTTTCCTTGACTGACACGTCCAGCGCTCGTTTTATTCGAGCGGTTTCAGAACTGGAACTCCTGGGTTTCATCAAGCCCAGCAAGCAGAAAACCGATCACGTGGCGAGGCTGACATGGGGAGGCTGTTAATGTGCCACCAGAACCTTAATAAAGCTGTTCTTTGTAACGCTGGGCGATGGCTGTGTTCCCACTAAACTAGTCTTAACTGACTTAGCAAGCTGAGTCCGAGTCAAGGCTGACTGAACGCTGAGCTACATTCCCAGTGCCTGGAGGAACTGCAGTCACAATGTTGTTTTTTAACACCCTGCCTCCATATCGTAATGCACTGCTCTATTGCTGCTCGTGTTCCAGATACTGTAGTGGTGTGCCAGTGTTCATCAGCTTTGATGTGCAATACTTAACGCTGTGCTGATATAATTCAGGATGCCAAGCCAAAATGAGAACAGGGGATGTGTCAGCTGCAGAAGTGATGAAGCAGCATTATTAACTTGCTCACGATCTGATAGGATTTGAATCATCAGTATAAAATGCCTTCCCCCTCCCTGAAGTACAGATTTCAGTATGCTAAGGAAGACAATAAGCTCCTGTGCTTGGCATCTGCTGTGTGTCCTTCAAAGCAGAACCAGTCCTAGCACCCTGAAAAACTTGATCTTGAAGCAGAGAAAGTGACAATACGTCTGAAGATACAGCGTTATGTTGTCTGAGAAGAGCAAATGCAAACTTTGACTCATTCCCTTGTTGTACTGAGGATAAGTAGGAGCTTAGCTGTGGGGAATTTGTGTCAACAAAGGCCAAAGAAGAATATGGCACTCACACATCTTGGAGGAAGGCAGTAAAATCCACACACCATCTCTTTTCTCTTTGCTGATGATTTGTATTCGACACAAGCAAAAGAAACAGCTGAGAGCAGGGAAGCACTGTTTATGTGACAGCTCTCCAGTCCATGACACCGCATCAACAAGCACAGCAGTAGAGACAGCACTACCAGCAAGAAAGAAGACTTTTCTTTGCCCTTCAAGAGCTGCCCTGCCCATCTTATGCTTTAGCCTTTGCCTTCACCCTGTTTGGACAGCGAATGTGTTTTCCAACCATGGAAGAAGCCTTCCCCTGCAGCACAGTGCCTCTGCTCCACGTTGATAAACTGCCCCCCCCCCGGGCTGTGGTTCGTGCTCTGCAGTCACGGGGTGGAGGCCTCAGGTCAGCCTTATCACCTCGCGACCGGCTGCACTGCTCCAGAAGAGTGTTTAGACTTTGCGCTGGGTGGGAATGACTCGGTTTATTGTGAAAGACTGTGTTTACCACCAAAGAAAACCTCCCAGTCCTCAGCTGAGTGCCGTCACTCTCCTTTGGTTGGAGGCAGTTGAGCGCAAACATCCAGCTGTCACGAGAAGCCAGATGCTCCCACTTAGCTGCAGTGGCACTTCAGCCTTCCTACCCAAAACAGCTGATAACGATAGCCCGGAGCTCTGAAGTTTGTACCACGTAAGTAAAACAGAGCCCTACAAGGGCAGGATAAGTCCTCTTACGAAAAGCTGGAACTTCACGAGCTATTTACACAGGAGTTTGTGTTAAATACCCTCGGAGAGTAGGAGTCATGTATTTTCCAGTCATTCTAACTGCAGTGCTTCCTGCTGTGCGTATGCTCTAAATGGTGTCAAGCAAATTAAAGGTTGCGGAAGATGAGCTTATCAGCCTTTACTGCTTAAATACACAACTTGGGAAAGGCAAGGGCAGGAACTCTGAACAGTAAGTTTTAGGATCTCATGGGAGCAGTGCTGACGTTCCTCCCTTCTGCCAAGACATGGGGGTAAACTAACTCAACTGTGCTTCATTCCAGAGACAAGCCAGGGGCATCTACGTGTGCTCCACAGGCTTTTTATTTCCAAGAAGCAGAGAGGAAAGACTAATTTCAGGAGAAGAATGCTGCATAGGCTTCCTCTGCTCTGAACCTGACCTATTTATTCTGCAAATAGGCTTGAAATACCAATGTGAGCAGCAAAACATTGAAATGTGTCACTGATCAGCAGGATGAGCAGCCAAACACCCCCCACACCTGTCCTCAGCCACCTCCTGCAGCCTCCCCTCCCCTAACAGGGCCCGATCCTTCAAAATCCAACCACACACTCTCTCAGAGCTTTTAGGGATTGGGATATTTGGAAACAAAGAGACACAAGCTTTCACAGTATGTGATGTTCAACCACTACATGAGCTGGCAACATGACATCAAAAATAAATAGCAAAATTAATAGTTCATGGCCGTTTCTTCCCTGTAATGACGAGGAATTCAGAACCTTAAAGTCACCCAAGCTTGCTAGGCTATTTATGGTTGCTTGGGATCAAATCCTTCAGTACGTGGCACTTCATACACTGAAAGATGCATAAAAGGGAAAAAGATGACTAAAATTATGTAAGAAGTAATACGTCATTTCATTTCCTTCCACAAGGAGGGTTGGACATTTTTAAAAGAATAGACAAAATTTGCGAGCCTTATCCAGTTTGTCTCTGTTCAGAGGCTGGTTTCACAGTCAGGATCCCAGCTGCCTATGGAATTTAACTGCTAAATCTTGCACCAACATCAGGAAAAGCAGAGATGGTACAGCTGTGAAACTCACCCTGAACAAAACCCTGGTGCTAGGGGTCTAGGGCTTCTCTCAATTTATTTTACAACTGTTTGCTGTACATATTCCACATTCACCCTAGCTGAAATACATAAAGGAAGAGTGGAATCGACCGTATATATGTAATTTAAAATTTTAGTTTCTACAGTTGCCTGCACTAGTAGCACATTCTGCAGCCCCCCAGGAGCCCTTCCCTGTGCGCAGCGCTCATGAAAAGCAAGGCCAAAGCTGGCACTGCGATACCAGATCTGAAACTAAGCACAAACCTCGCTCACCTCTGAACCAGTAACCGTACGGTGTTCTTCAACACCCTCAGCTGTCAACAAAAGCGTGGCCCGAAGTTAAACCTGGAAGTCACTTAACTGCTGTTTGAAGGATTTCCTATATTCTCTGTTCTTCTATATGAAGTATTTTGTCCCTGATACCTCTACTGGTTTCAAACAACAAGAACGTGAGAGTTTTCAAGAGAAACTAGAAGATACACGGAGCCTACTACAACAGCAAATAAAACCTGGTGTTAAAGGCAAACATTCACCCTCACATTTTTCATCGCATTACTTCCATGCAAAGGTCACAAGAAGAGCATAAACTCTTAATATTTTTCCAGCTTAAATGTTTCTCTTCCCCACTGCAGAATCGCTCAGATAAATCCTTCCCAATTCCCAACTGAGGGCCGGAGAGAATCCTTCCCAAAACACAGCCTTTACCCAGAATCTGGTAATGGTCTTGCTGTGTGAGATTGCTTGAGCAGACCTCAAGCATCAGCACACCAGATTGCACCAATCTCCTTCCTTTTCATCCTTGATAAATGCTGAAGAACCTCCTGGTTGTATCTTTCCTATCTAGACAAAAATCAACACACAAAGTATGTGCTGCTTTTTCAGTTTACAGTAACCAAGATCTGCTTGAAAAGAATTTAAGTGTCACTATCTTAACAACAAGTTAACCAAGATCTTTGGTTTCCATCTGTAAAGTTGCAGTCAACTGTCCTCAATTTGCTTTGCTTTTGGACTGCAGTGACAAGCAAATTGCAAAATCATCAACAAAAGCTCTGGAAACCACAAAACCCAGCGCCAAGAATACACTAATTGTTGAGTCTTACCCACTTCTGCTTTACCCTAAGCCCTCCAAAACACCTCTGAAAAGATTCTCCAAAGCAGGTGTTGTTTTTTTTAAGCACCACCCTACTTCCTCACAGAACCTGAGATTCCCTATGTTGTTTTTTTCCCCAACAGTAATGGAGCAGCCAACCATTTTCCCACTGAAGAGCAAGCTACCTGTTAGAACAAGCCTTTCATGTGACAGCCATCGCATCGCATCAATCACTGAGATTAGAGAAAGAGCCAGTCTGAAATCAAACAACAAGCAGCAGGTTAAAAAAAAAAAAGAAGAAACTTTTCAAAGAATGCGACCTCATTTCCAAAACAGGCACAAATTAGGCATACCACAGATGTGAGCCATGAGCACCCATGGTGGCATTAATCAGCCAGGAGCCTGTTTGCCATGCATTAATTTGGAGCAGCACAGGAATGACTGGGTGCTACCATGACATCATTTCTTATTTATAATAACTCTTAATATCCCGAAGGATAAGATAAGCTGAGACAGAGAGGCAATCACAATGGCTGGTATTTTAATTCTACCTCCAATTATCAGTTAGGCACATACTCTTCCCTATCAAGCCAGAACAAAGATCTCCTGGAGCACTGGAGATACAGGAGATGCATCAGGAGGCTGGAATCTGGGTAGTGGTCCACCCAGAAGCAAGGGCTTTCCTGCCCTCAACAAGTTAACAGCAGGAGGAGGCCCCAAAACGAGCAGGAAGGAGTGGGGCTGAGAACCCCGAGACAAACAGAAGTTAGGTTTGAGGTTAGTAGAACCGTGATCGTTCAGTACTCAGTACTGGAAGAGCCACAAGAGCAATCTGGCAGAGCTCTGACAGTCTGAAATACGGGTTAAGAGGAATCCAAATATTAAGGTCAGGCAGGCTTCAGGGAAGCGTGCAGAAAATCCTCAGAGAGTGCAGCTACGTGCGTAATTCTGGACTCACATCACTGTCAAGGGAATGGAAGTTCACTAAGAGCTAGAACGCGCTGGGCTCCTCTGAAATCATAACCCACAGCATGAGCCAATTAATGCACAGATCTACCAGGCTCCAGGACATTTCAGCTAGAAATCCCCACTCATTTGAAGTGGTACGAAGACCCAGTACGCACAGACTTCCACTTAAGCAGAAGTTGACATTAGGTAAGTTAATTTAGAGAGCAGTTTAATGGAAGGATTACTTTAAAACTGCTTGTAAGTCCCCAAAGCAGATAATCCGAGTCAGGTGATGAGCAATACTCCTACCCGTGGCACAGAGCTCTGGAATTACCATGCAGTAACGTTTCAGTCACTCGTGCTGTGACTCAGAATGACACAGGCAGCAGCAGCCACCGCTTACACAGCAGTTTGCAAACAGCTGAGCGTATCTAACAACAAACTCCGAGGCCCAGAACACGCAGAGGTTGCACGCCTTCGGCTCCTCCAACACCTAGGGAGCTACAGCTTGTGGTGCAAGCGCCTGCTCTGTCTGAGGACCAGACTTCCTTTGGTGTCACTTCAGGCTGAAGGAAGACGAGCACAGCTGCTTTGAGTCAGCTGCAGTTAAATCAGGATTTTGTCAGTCGTGTCACAAACATGCTGCCCTACCTGAAACAACACAGCCAATCTAAGAAGCATTTCTTGGCCTCTGAAAAATTATGTGAGGTTTCCATCCACTTCCTTTCCTGAAATTCTGACCCACCCACTACTGCTAGTAAATACAGTTTCCATTTAAACACTCAGATTTAAGTTTATTCATACACAGCAAAAGTTCCACCTGCATATTAAAAACAAACAGATTAGAAGTAAATGTTTTATTCTTCCAACTAAATTCCAGTACTACAAGGGCAGTAAAACAATGATACACTGAAAAATTGCAGCAATAAACATTTGTTAAAGACTGATAGAATAAATAAAAACTACAAAAATGAGAAATCATATAAACCCATTCTTAACCCCCAAAAAAAGTCATGGAATACAGAAATGCCCTCCTTCACTATTTCACAGGCAGTACTGTGGGCTATTTGCTTAAAATTGTCCTGGGATTACATTCTAATTTAACTGTGATTACAGCTCTGTTGTAGTGCACAGTTATGAAAACCACACTAACTTCAGTCAGAAGTGTCATTCTACATTTTTTATTTACACAACCAGTGAAGGGCAACTTCTAGAACACCAGCTTTAATCCTTTACTTTTTCAAACTTATTAACATAAGAAGCCAAATTGTAATGATACAGCAAATGAGGCCACTGGTATTATTACAGGTAGCAAAGGTCCACATCCAGGTGGTACTGACATCAGGGAGCACTCCAAAACCAGTTGCTGCATAAGAGTGGTTGCCACTGACAAAAGCTTGAAATAACCTGTGTTCACAGGGGGAAAAAATATGGCATTGCTGCAAGTCATTACTGGGACAGCTTGCAACAATAAAACGGGGTGTATAGGGCAGCCCACGTATGCAGAAAGTATGATTCATGAAACGTCTGAAAAAAGAAAAAAATGAGAGTTAATGGTGAAGGTAACAAAAGGCAGGGCTATCACAAACCTGGTACAGCAACACCAAAACCTTCCTCAAAATCCCAGCACGTAACGGGTGACAGCTCTGCGTGTTTTAAAACCAAAGCTGCATTTTACCACACATCTTTTCAACCTCCATACTACCAACATGAAGTATTTTTGCCCTGGGGCCTTGTCGAAGCTCAACAATGAACAAAGGCCAGTTAAACCATTGAGCATTTGGTAATCCAATGCTGCTGTAGGAACCGGAAGAAAGGGATACTCACAACTGGCAGGCTGTTCTCCATATCGTCGCATGATTTGATCATGCGTGAACTTCACAAACGCGTCGTATTGTTCTGCAAGCATGAAGCATAGGAAGTGTGAGTCTACTAAGTTTAACCCAGGCTGAAAAATAGTCAAGGCTACTTTTTATACCGTACAAATCAGATCAATTAAACACACATCCACTAGCAGCAGTTTTAAGCGACTCTGCACAGTTCATAGCTGCCGTTTCTTTTCCATCCCCCACAAACAACAATGCAGCACATCACCTTAATTAATAGAATTTCCCTTAGAAAAACAGTTAATATTACCAAGGATAACTATGCTGCACAGACACAAAGACCTCGGTACACCCAGTACATGCTAAGTGTCAGAATCTTATTTTGAAGTAACTGAGAACGCCCATTTCACAGACACTAACGGGCAGAGCAGTTACACACAGCGTTATGGTCAGTGCTAGGGTTGGAAACATAACTTCTCTCTGCTCCTGCCCCTACCAGATGTAGAACCAAATTAATTTAATGCTATGGAAACGAAGTAGTACAGGAAAGGGACTTGCTACAAAGTTAGAAAGCCTTTTTGGTGACTACCCAAAAATGAAAAGCAAAAGACAAACTAAAAGGATGAGCTGCTAAGTGACTAGCACTTGGCTAATCCCAGCCACAGAAGCAGCCACACAGCTGACTGTGGACTTCATGAAAATAGCTACTGCGTGATCCAAAATGAAATTTAGGTATCAAACATTCGTTTAGCTTTGGACTAAGCACTGCT